ATATATGCTTATCTACTGTTATAGTTATTTCCTTTATATCATCACACATATATTTTCATTTATATATATCTGTATATCAGATAGGTATGTTCCGATAATTTCCCTGATAACTTTTCAAACTAGAATTATTCGCATTGTAAATGCTCCCATAAAACAACGGTTTCTATTTATCTGTGACACACCGCCGCCCTCGCCATTTTACATTCACCATTTTCTGGCGTGGCTCGACTACGCCGAATCAAAGTGTTCCTTTAAGGTTTATTACAGAGTCATGCTGAGCAATCATTCACGTCCATCGACATCACGTCTCTTCATCGTCGTCAATCTTATAGCCTCTATCATCCGTCTAGTGGCAGATTTCTGACATCAATTTTTTTACCGGTAATATTCAAATTCCATTAGAAGCGATCCATAGTGACTTGCAATCTTGCCTCAGATATGATCACTGCCGCTATAATTACTAACCTCTGTTAGTTATTGTCTCCCAGTTTTCATTTGTAGTCAGGCTCATCTTGCTGTTTTTCACCCATTCAATCTAAGCAGAACACCCTTCTATCACCTCTCGATCTATTTCTGTTGTTACCTTTTTGAACAAAAAATATATACGTATATATAGAAGGATAACTTCGACCGGAAATCATCGTTCTTTTCACTCGCTTTAGAAACCAACCTATCGCAAAATACCCAAGATGTACAATTGATGCCTTCACATAGTCGTGCACTTACACGTGATCACGCAACTTTATAACGAATAGCCATCATCGAAACGACAGCGTTAGATCGAATACTTAGTGGCGAATTCGATTGATGAAATTAACAACTTTTCAGTTTTGTATGTTTATTGTCTTTCGTAGAATTCAGTAAATGTCGTATTGGTACGTCTGTTTTTTTTCCACTGCTTTCTCTACTGCATCTGCGTTCGCTTTGTGGAAAAAATCAGCATTTTTTGCCATCTAAATATTATGTGTATACTTGTTTTTTTTCAATTTGTATGTCTGTTTGTATCTATATGGCACCCAGGGTTATAGACAATGCATTCGAGCTAAGAATTTGCACTGTTATAAGTGATTCGTCACAGGTCTATGTATGAGTGGTCAATTTGCACACGCAGTTAGACACCTATAGCAATTGATTATTTATAACATAGTACCTATATAACCGCCTTGTTTTCGATTTCATTCGGCCTGAGACTGACCTGACTCTTCATCTCTATGTCGATGATATTTGTCAAAGAGGTTTGAAATGTTTATGCGTTTTTCTCATCTCGCTTGCTCTTGGTATTATTTGATTGTATCGCGTATTTTGTGTGTGATCTCAAACCATTAACAGATTCGATCAATCACCGTGTGTCATACTGAACCGCTGGTGCGTACACGTACACAATACCCATACAGTCCCATCTAGATAGTAGCACATCTAAATAATAATTGAATGTACATATTATGCACCGGTAAACTAGGCCGGCTTTTACAATCAACAACAACATCAATAAACTAATTAAACAAGTGTATGTCGTTAATTCGACAGGAAAGTTATTTTAGCAGTGCCAATGAATTAATCATTGTAGCACGTAAGCGATCAGCAGTAAGTGCTAGAATAGGTTTGGTTTAATCAAGAAACTCAGTAAAAAATGCCATCGATTAATTGCAAACGAATTAATTATATGATAACCCTTCAATTAAAGAAATCTTATTTATAATTATTTGCTGAAGCTTATACTGCCAGTTTCCAGGGGTGTGTGTAGGAAAGTTCACAAGACCGGTATTTACATATAACATGGTTGAAGAATGTTACGAAATCGTCCCACAACTGTGTTATATTAATGATATTGCTTTTTTTTTTTTGCTGATATCTGTAACAAGCGTAGAGATTAAATTCAACAGGGAGTCAATACGTCTACGTGGCACTCGTTCCTTTACGGATAAATTATTACTCCCATTCCACTCCTGTATTCCCCCTGCAGGCTATTCTTTAAATTGCTATTACCATATAACTTAAAAACAATAAAATAACTTATTGAACGGTTAAAATAAGCACATTAGTATACAATTACAGTCTGTACATTATATAGCATTGCTTAAATATTGACAAAAATGCTCAAAGCTGAGCGTTCGAATACAAACGGTTCGGTAATTGTGATTTTCTTTCGATGCTCGTCCGCTCTGTTACTTCTCTCTTCATTTATTAGCCTTGAACTGACTTTGGTTTCTTCCGCGCAACATAACCTTTTCTCTTTATAATAAATACAGTTACCGTTATAACAGAGACATGCTTCCCTTAGCTGGAGGGACACACATGATTAGAATGGCCAGTCAGGCCATCGCCGGGAAGTTCACGTCTCTCTTAAAATAAAATATTATGATTTCTCTCGAAAACACATTATGTACAAAAAAACAAAAAAAAAAAAGAAAAAAAAAGGTTCGTTTAAATACGCATTCAGATACTATTCAAGCCATAATAACAATAAATATTATTATAATGACCAAAGGACAGTTCTTCTCGAAGCATAGAACCTACCATCATCTAATGCTATTTTTCGTACAGCGTTTAGTTGTTGTGTTGACGAAATGGTCTTCCCTTTGTCATCATTGCTGAACAATTATTATTATTATTATTATACAGATTAAGATGTGCGCCAAACCTACGAACAACATTAATATGCCAATATAGTGTATTATTTGTCATTCTTATTATCATTAATAACAGTAATTGTTACCACTGGCCTTTTTATAAAAATCTTAATAGCAGAACAAATTGTTGCTATCGCTCACGTTCTCGTTTACGATATGGCTTCTACGGCGGTTACGATATGGAATTCTGCTATAGTCGTAATATAATCGAATTATTCGTTCATCTTCGTTGGACAAAGCCGGAAGGATGCAAATATTTTCGTTATTATTATTGTTATTAATATGAGTGGTAGTAAGGTGGCGTCCCGATGGTTGTAAATAACACATAGGTACCGATTGACTCGATACTTGTTTCGCTTTACCGTGACCTTTCCTAACTTTAGTATTTCGTATTGTTGTTGTCGTTGTCAGTCTTCAACAAGTTGCCGATAATTTTCTTTTTTTCTAGTAGTTTCGTTGTCGATCAGCTGATACTGCACTGATTATCGTGCTGCTGAGTAGAATGACTGATCGCTTTTTGTGGGCTGCCCATAGGACTATTGTATTCCCTGTTGTCTGTTCTTCTTTATCTCTCTCATCGACGTCGCGACACTAGCTTACTTTATTGTTCTTCAATATCTTGTCCATCTCTCTCTACAGTATAAACATCTATTTCATCAGATCATACAACACATCTCATTTCGCAAGATCATATACAAACGATTACCAGTGCTGATCCTTTTTTCCTTGGTTGTATGCTGCATTTGTTTTGTGATGGTTTTAATGGGAACAAGTCAAGGTCGCAAAGATTAAATTTAGTGCACTTCGACACCGTGCTCCAGTTAGCTAGTTCCGATGATTATTAGATTTTATTATAATAGCCGATGACGGTTAGTTCCGGCAGTAAGTAGATAGTTGATCTGGCATTTGGTTGTCATCAGTATCGGATATGACATGCCTGCATCATATCGTAACCTGTATATACGTAGGCGTGCTCCTCAGCAACTTTGTCAAACCATAAATATGCTTCAACTATGGGGTCCCATTTGCTGTACGACCTATATAGCACTAGACTAATATTAGCCGAGAAGAAAAGAATTCTACCAATTGCTCATCATCCATTTAACTAATGACTTATGGCGTACCCTGTGCAGGGGTCGGAGTGTCTTCCGAGCTCGGCAGTGGCACAATGGCTGCCGGTGATACGCTCAGGCTATAGGTGGCCAACGATGTATTGACAATAGGTTCCACGGCTGGTGACAGAGAGGTCTGTCCGTTTTCACTACAGGCTAACGAGACAAGCATGAAGTTTTGTCCTGCCGCCTGCTGTTGTTGCAGCTGCTGCAGTTGTTGATATTGCAATAATTGCTCCTGCAGATGCTCCTCCAATTCTTCCTGGAGCTGAATCGGTAATTGAAATTGAAGTTGCGGCTGATGCTGCGAGACGCCTGAACAGCTCGCTAAACGACTGCAGTTGGCAATCGTCACCGGGCTGCAGTTTACCGTTGCACCGCCGCTGGCAGTTTGCTATTCGCCCTGCGACAGCTTTTGCGGTTTAGCCTGTGATGATCGGAGAGAACGCTGGCGTGGAAGCGGATGATTCCGGGAAGATTCGCCGCCACCAATGAAGACCGCCGTAGCAGTCATATCCTGTAAAAGTAGAAAAACATGTAAGCGTATCGAACAGAAGGTGAGGTCCTGTATAGGAAAAGTGCATAAAATAATACACAATATAATAAACGACTGAAAAATCATTGTTGTCATCAAATAGACGCATTCGACTTTGGCGTTTACCTTTTCGGTAGGTGATCCAAGTGTCAAACTCGACATAGATGATGACAAGTTGAGGGTGGACGCAACAGACAGCGACGAGGGATAATGTTGGAGAGGTTCGTGCGTCTGTTCTCTTGGCTCGTTCTCGTCAGCCGGAAGGCACGTCTCGACCATTGCTTCGAGACAGTTGACAAATAGCTCGGCATTGTCCAAATTCGTTTGACATTTAGAAAATGGACCGGCAAATCGCCAAAGACCGCCGAACCCGCAAGCTGAAATGGATTGCGTAGAAAAATAATAACACGGTATGTGGCAGTTTTATTAGATCGACACCAAATTCGACTCGTGCCTTCCACCCTGCACTGGAAAGTGCTAGCAAAACATGACTGGAGGCAATAGAGAGGAGTATCGAAACGATACCAAATAGACTTTTACGCGACACAAAAGGAAATTTATTTTCTTTTTGCGTCACTGAAACTATCGAATATCAGTAACACTAGTTGATGAAAATCCGGGAGCTACAACTAAATACATAAAAAAATTGACCTGTCAGAAATTATAAATCAGGACTGCAATAACATTTTCCAATGCGTTGTTTGACAGCTTATGTATTTGCGGACTACGAGATCTTAGTTACAAAATGTTTCCTTTTTACAAAACCCGAACAACTTAAACTAGCGCCCAACTCAATCAGCGTTTTCACTTACTCTGAAGATAATAGTGAAGCTGCTGTTGTTGTTGATCTTCGCAGCAGGCGATCATGTTCTTAATGATACACTGCACGGCAGACAAAATAATTTGGTCATAGCTGATTGCAAGAACATTGGTAATTTTCCCGTCAAGCAGTGAATGTATGACGGGAAACACCTTGGGAAAAACAACCGAAGCCTCGGCCAAATATTCATAAAGAATTCTGGCCTCGTTCTCATCGGTGGTAAATTTGACCATTGTAGCTAGTACGGTCAACACTAGAGCTTGTGTTGTGAAGTCGGTCAGCACTTCAGGATCGAGCAGGACATTGTCTTCATTTGAAATTGATACACGGCTTGTCGCAGTAGCCGGGCCAGATACGTCGACACCCGCAGAACTGACGTGTCCAGGACCGTTTCCAGGACCGCCGCTGAGGACGCCTGGACGACTTGATGTTGTGACCACAGGAACTAATGGAGGGGCACTTGCAGCCGCTATTGTGGCGACAGCCGATGAAGACACCATTTCCCCGGCAGATGATTCACGCCTCTGACTCTGCGAGGTGGACGGTGCTGAGCTCGACCGCAATACCATGCGTTGATTGTTTAAACACATGCTATTAGCGTCAGTGCCTGTTGCATTGTCGATGCATCAAGGCCATAATGAGAGAGAAAAAAACAGATCCATGAAACACTCGATTAGAAGAATTTTTACGCGTGTTAATAATGCTTATCATGATAACACTTATCCTTCAATTAACAGCATTTACTTTTAATTTTTATGCACTTCTATTTAAAGGTGAAAATATTAGGAATGTTGTGCATTTCATGATAAAAAAAAAATGCTCTAAAATAAGAAAAAGCGCTAAAAGGATTGGGTTATATATATAATGTGGCGAAAGCATTTTGTTGTACAATTGAACGTTGACGTTTACCTAAGTCAAACGATTTTCCTTGTCCGACAGAGCCTGTTTTGGCGAGCAGGTTTGTACCTTGCGAGTCGCGTTTCGGTGATGCTGCGTTTGCATTAACTGGGCTATCGGCTTTTGCAACTGTATCCAGTTGTTGTGGTTGATGATGTTGTTGTTGCGTCGCGGACGACATCGAACCGGATTGGGCCGTCATGAACGAAGGAGCCGAACGATGTTTTAGATGGCAGCGCGATCTAACCTCTTCAGAGACAGAGACCAATGCCGACAAATAGGGAACAGCCTCTGGGGTTACCTCAAACTTATCGCGCTTGTACGGCTTTGCAACAATACCGAGCAACATATTAAGTACTCGTGCCGTACGAGATACCGTCGTAGGTGTCGGATGACGGAATCCTTTGAGCAAATGGCCAACAAGTGCGAAATGGAACGACGTATTGAACGACAGTCCGACCGAATGATCGAGCTGTTTGAAGTGCCACTCCAGTGGGTCACGGGTAGACATCATGATCTGTTTGAGCGTATTCGGTGCCTCAAACATACCCTGCGAATCGAGTGTGTGCAAATTCTGCTCGAGCAGTGCTAGTCCAGAAGCGTACAGATTAATCTCGTCGAGCTGTAGAACTGATATAGCCACCCAAAAGAGCGCCCGGTGAATAGGTGATTCAGGCGAAAGCATTGGATGTAATCGAGTCAGACACATGATTATGGCATCTATTAGCTGCAGATCCTGGAAGGACTCTAGTGCCTTTACAAGAATTCGAAGTAGTTGTTTCACATCGGAATCGACGACCGATTTTGAGATGCAACCGAACACGATTAATGCCCGAGGCTGTAAGGCCGGATTATAACGGAATGCAAAGCTTCTTGCTAAAGTTGTCCAATGTGTTAGCCAGTCTGTAACGCCTGCGGCCTTCTGACACGCTTCCATGATTTCAAGGAGCGCATCAGTGATGATCTCAAGTGAGGCGAGCGGCATTCGTTCGGGGTCAGTGCCAGCACAGGTGAATGAGCGATCCAGGTGACGGTCATTGTGACGATAATTATTCCGAAACGCGGCGACCGCTGTAGATTTTACTTTGGAGATGCCAAACAACAGGTAGAACTTCGGCAGAGAGAACTCATCGAGCGACAGTCTAAGTGTTTGTTTGGTGTCATTAAACGATGGTTTCGTACAAGTGCACAGTGAGTGGATGATGTTAATAACGAGTCCGTGAATGGAGGCGCGCAACGATAGCGGGCCGGTGTGAACTAGCAGGGTAACGATGTGGAATAAATATGGCAGATGGATTGCCACTGAAATATAAAAATAACCCAAAGATTAAGTCTGGGCTAAACCAACATCAGCCAGAACACTCCTTGATGAACTTCACATAATAGAAAACAAGTTATCTATAAGTCAACTAGAACGTTCTATATTCCTTTAGCCAATATTGTGCTTCTGTAGACGACTGTGTGGGACTTTCTAATGCTTTCTTTAGCTGCATATCTACCTTACACTGTGTACTTGTAGATCATACGTTACAACTTATGGCAAGATAGATGATACCATCAATTAGTTCTTTACGAGAAAATATTCACCAAGACGTACGTACCGTCTAGTGAGTTGTTGAACGATAACATGAGTAGATATCGAGCCAGGATCGCAATATCATCCCACATCAAATGTTGCTCCAACGTCGGCGTCGGCGATGTACATGTTTTTTCGATAACCCGACATAGTCGGCTAATGACCTTCATCGCTACGAGTTGGACGTTAGCCGACGCAAGTGCCACGGCAGTGTCGGCCATAATTTCCGCCTGGGCCGATCCCAGCCCACCGGTGACGCTCCGTTTAATAAAACTATCAAGCACCATATCCAGAAGGTCGGACACCTGACCTATCTTTCCCCAGATTTTAGCCTGAATTGATGGATACATTTCTACCTCTTCGATTGTTAACGTTATCAGCTTATCGAGAATGGTAGCGACGCGCTGTCGCTTGTTGTCATCCGAATGTCTGCAGAAACGAGTGAGGTTGGGAAGCCACGGAGTCATATATTCAAGGCAAAGATGTTTAAGCTCGATCGACGAGGCTGAAAAACCCTGTATGCACTCCTCAAGAAATTCGAGGGTCAGATGGTATGCCGACAGCGATAGCTTATCACTGATCTGTTTAATGAAAATGGTGTTATTTGAGGGGATGCATAATCCACTGGTCTCCAGCAGTTGGCCGTCTATCTTCAGGTCGAACGTCTGAGTAAGGGCGCAGAGCAGATTATAAGCCGCTGTTCGCAGGTTAGGATCAGATGACCCCAGATTCAACAAAGCCATGTTGAGCAGGGTGCCAGGTACGTCCTTGGGTCGTATCTTAGTATGGACGGTAACCGTGTCTGGCTGAGAGAGTTCCCATCGGGTTCGAATATGAATGATGGCTTGAACGATGGTGTCGCAGTCATTGTGAATAAATGACAGTGGTCCACTTTCATTGGCGATCGTTAGTGTAAATTGGTTGTCATCAACTAAACAGACCTCTTCGATTTCTGATGCGTAGTAGACATCGTTGAGGAGCACCGAATGCGACAGGACTTTGGTTTTCTCGGCCGATGTTACTTGGATAGCAGTGGGGCCAACTTTGATAGCAACTTTCGTATCTTTGTGACTTAGCTTTAGGGCATTGTTGAATACCTTAAGATCTTCCTCAAGGCTGAGTGTAGCCCCTGGCAGCTGTTGCTGGTCCACCTCGATATATTCACTGAGCTTCTGCGGCGAATCGATAAACAGCAGCTTTCTATTACCCTTTAACGGGGCCAAAATTCGATCGTGATACTTGGTGTACTCGCGTACCCACGAGTTGCAGTTGTAGATGTACGCTGCATGAATTCGTTCATATGCAATGTCGGGTAATACGACAAACCACTTCTGAAGAAATTCGGTTCGAAAACGATTATCTGCACAAGTGTGGGTGAAATCTATAACCAGCTCAAAGCCTTTATGGCAGAATGCCTTCAGCGTTAGGATGACGTGGTAAATGAGGAGGTCACCATTCGTTTCGCCGATCTTGTAGCGACGTGCAATATAGTAGAAAACGGGATAGCCTGCCCTCGAAGTACCGCTCTGGTAAAATATGTTAAGTGACTTAATTGATTTGAATTCATCTTTTTCATGCATGTTATGCTTGCTCATGATCTCCTCGAATTTGGTTGATGTCATATCCATGCCACCCCATTGAGAATCCATCGGTTTATGTTCGGGCGGGCCTAGATAGGCTAACAATGTGGCCATCTTGTCAAATGGCCGTCGACCCACGGCCTTGTGGTCACGCGACGACGAGAGATAATCACCGATCTTCTCTTGATGATTCCACAGCAAGCGATGTAATGCATGAACGTTCGCATCGCTGATAAATGACATCGTATGGGACGTCTGCTCGGTCGGCTCGCAGTCCGACGTGATTTGCATCACCCAACGACGGTTAGCTTCAAAGTTGGCTCGGAGAAAGTCATTGAATGGTACCATGTGCTGTTCCTTTGAGAACTCAATGTGATTTGCAATGTTTTGGAGGATTTTCGACATGAGCATCAGACCACGTTTCGTTCGCGGAGACGGCTGTCGATCGACAATTCCCGACTCGGTCGGTGAAACGATAGCCGGATTGATGAACCGCAGATAAATAACGGTGCCAACAGCCGAGAGATTGTGCGGGAAATTTGGAAAACGCTTATTGAGCACTTGATACAGACAATGGCACATGGAGCGCAGTTGTTGCGGGAACCGATCGGCAGATTGGACAATCGCCGTAAACACTCGGCCAGTCAACTGGAGCAGATTGAGTCGATTCTCTTCGACGTTGTCTGCGGACTCCGTTCGTGCAGGATCTACCTCGTAGCTTGTGTTACAATGAGGCGTCTCTAATAGCTGCGATAGGAGTGGTTCGAGTAACGAATGTATGTAGGACGCACCGTAGATTTTAAAGCAGAACGCCATTATCTTGCTGCCCAATGAATTACCCCGGAATAGGGTCTGCATGCAGTCCGATAGCTCGACCTCCTTGTAGAACATGTTCCACAACAATGGACTAAGTAGATGTTTTGCATCGAAGAGGGTGACGAACACGCGGGATAATTCGTCCATTTGTGGGCTCATCACGACGCTAGCAAGGGCCATTGCAATGGGCAGCTCACCCTTATCGCCAATCATAGTCACTAGCTGCACGAGCTGTTCGTAACGGTCAGCCAGGACAGTTTCGGCTAACATGTCAAATTCGGTGCCCTGCTGCAGGATTTTAGTAAGCACTTCCATGAATGCAGCTCGCGTCTGTAAATCCTTATGATAGCCTAGGCCAATTGAGTGCATTAGGCCGGAATCAATGTTAGCGCTGAGCAGGTTCGACATCGCTTGAATCGTGCACGTACGCAGCTCGCTCAACTTGACCGAGTGCAGCCTGTGCGAGTTGCGGGTAGTTACGGTTGTAACGGTCGGCATGGACGGGGTGACAACGTCCTTGCAGTCTTCAGGGATTTCAGCACACTCATTAAGAAGATTCATAAACAAAGAGAAGTATTTGAGGAAGAGCTGCGATTTCGCCTCCATAAGATCCCCACGGTCGCTCTCTTCGGGCTGCAACGGTAAGCCCAGCAGGAGTGCTGCAACGGCACGCATGCAAGCCTGATCAAGGTCACGCGTCAAGGCGGTCACGTCGCCACTTGATGGTGGGGCGATTTGATGGGAGTTGCCCATTACCCAGTCGGTTAGATATTCGACCATCTTATTGCGAAACTTCATCTCTTGACGAAATGCAAGATCATCCCGGCGTTCCATCATAACTTCGACTAATTGACAAAGTTTCGTTTTAATGTGGATTGCATGCACCGTCGTGTCCAGATGGCGTACGTATCGAACAATTGCCAACATCATGGCCTCCATTGATGTAACGCCTAGATGCTCAGCTGTATGTTCGACCCTGTTCTCAAGGATCGATTTCATAATGAATATGATGTGCTCGATAAACTGCGTGTTAGTATCGGCCAAAATGACTTGGCCTTGTGGGTCGAAGAACTTCTCCACGATTGATTTTATTTGATCAAATAGGATCGGGTAGAGAGAAGGCGCCATCTCATGGGCGACCAAATCTTTAACGTGCTTTTGAATTTGGGTACCGAACTTTTCATTATGGCACACTAATAGTTTTAGCAGCTGGCCGACGAAGTCCAGAACTGGACAGTACTGCTGCATGATATCCTGTCCGGTGAGAATTTTCCGGGCATCACAGCTTGCTGCGTACGACGAGTGCACCGAGCTAGATGAGCGTGAACGGGCGGGTGACTTCCGTTGTAAACAGACCCCGCCAAGGGCCGATAAGAAACCGGTCATATTAGCCCATTCGTTTACTTGGTCTTCGAGCTCATGATCTGTGCTCTGATGCGACGCACGTCGCTTGCCAACCGTGCGATGGAGAGTGTCGCAGATCTGGCCGTCGTCCAGTTTTGTCTTCGGGTACTGAACGAGGAAGTTTGTCAGATAGTTCCAGTTGATGAACGTGTCCTCCCAAGCTTGCGAGCAGCCCTGTGTACAATGCTCGATCTTTCGTAGTAAGCCCATTATGCGTTTTTGTAGAGCCGCCCGTCCAGTTGTCAGTGTTTGAGAGGCGGCGGATAGCTCTTGGTAGACACAATAGTTGGGCAAAAGGTACGTGACGGTCAGATCGTCTTGGCCGCATCGTACATCGGCCTCTTCGCATAACAGTGCGAAACACGACATCGAGACAAGAACTGCCTCAATGTCGATAGACCAAAGGTACATGAAAAAAACCACTTCTTGTTTAATGTGAGCCTGTTTACAAATGGCTATGTGACTGCCGAGATTGGCGTAGTCTCGGTGTCTGAAAATACGAAAGAAAATTAATTAGAAGAATTTAGATGAGTGAACTGAATAGAAAAATGAATGAACGCATTACCGTACTACGCTGATTTTTGTTGGATTGATGAGAAGAGTGTTGATCTTTGTTATTTAGTCACCTTCGTTAGAAAGATTACCATTATATGGATTCATATTGTAGATTCATAACACGTAGAAGTCGCAAATTACTGATAACTCACCAACTAATAACTGTTGACTATTATTGACCGTCGAAAACGTACTGAAAATCCTTACGTTTACTAATTGCTCAATACAAATTACCTGTTAATTGCGAAGTAAAACTAATGAGTAGGAATACAGGTTGTTAAAGCGTATATCGACTAACCTCATCAAAAATGCATTCCTGCATTTCAGGATCTCTCTGAGCCATTTCAAAATATCGGTGTAGTTGACTATTTGATGCTGAATAAGTTTCTGTGAAATTGAAAAGAGGACCTGTGAGCTAACGTCCCAAAACGTATTAATCGGAGCCTCGGGATTCCACATCTCGATGTTCGTTGGGTGATGCAAAACCAGCAGGGCTTCCATGGCTTCTTGGGCCACATCGGGCATCGACGGTTGATGGATGAGTGAAACCAGTCCATTAATGAGTTCAAGTGTTGAGGACTGAATTTCATGTCCTGCTTTGCCTTGGTTCTGAAATTTACGATCAAGCGCGCGTCGAACAGCAATGCACGAGATAATGACAATGGTTAGAATAGTAGAACGGTCCTCGTATCATGTCGTAATAATGGGTTCACTTAGTTAAAATTAGGAACGTGAAGTAATCTAAGTTCGAAACCGCGAGCACACTTCTCGTGCTCAAAAAGGTAGGCAGTGTAAAGCTTATGTTTAATCGCAGTACTGGATGTAAAACTTAAAATATTTATTATAGGTAATTGAAACTCTTAGACATATTGCAAAACAGTGGATAGTTAGATGTGGGATCTTTGAGAAAAATGCAGATGGTTCTAAGAATCCATGCGGACAAATAATGTTTGAAAAGTCAAATTAACAGATGCATGAAAATTAATTGCACTTGAACCGATAGCTAAATAACTTCATTTTGATATTTGTTCATTTGGCAAACCTCGACGTAATTAAAAATAACAAATTAGTGAAATTTCTCCAGCAACGAAACAAGTTTTTAAATAGTGCTTGTCTTACATTTAGCATAAGCAGCGGATCGGCGTGAATTAGTCTCACAAGTAGTAACAGGATGTTCTTATATCCGAGTGACTCTTCTCCTCGCTCCTTGAACTTAAGAGTTGTCACTTTCTCCTTAAGAGTTAAGGAGCTTATCATCCTGAGCGAAGTGTGTGACAAGCCCTGGGTAACCTTATTTAGCGTATCCGTGAACAAACTACGCAGCTCAATTGACCGCGAATACAAGACGTCAATTTGCGGCCACCAGGGGAGTCGCGGTTGCGTGATAATCCTGGAACATAAAGAAGCAGCTCCGTTAGAATAACAGAGTACTCTTGTCGTTCGCTTAATATTTTTTCATTCCCAGAATATTATCCAATCTCTTTGTTAAACGGGTTAGAGATTCTGTTTATTCCAAATCAGTTTTCTCAGAACGATTTGATCTGACAATTGAGTGTATTCATACATTTCAAGGACGCTCGCAATGGGTCGTGATGTTTGCGCCATAGTAACCTCAGATTATTGTCACATAACGTAGAATCGCTAACACACCACATAAATCATTTATCAGATTCGATAAAAAAAAATTATTGCAACGAAGGATTTTAAACAGGGACACTGGCTATAAATGAGAACTGCATCGTTCCTTTTTTCTTGCTACACTGAATCGATCAAAAACATGATTTCAAATGGCTGTAGCACTCACCTAGCAAAATGGTCAAAACAATTAACAAAAATATGGACAACTTCTATGAGATTAAATAGGACTATTTGAATAATAGACTTACTTGTTTATTTAAGAACACCGATACTCACCGATAGAGCGCGCTCAGCAAGACAAAGTGGTATGTTGTCATATTCACATTAGTTGCCTGGTGGAGACAGACTTTCGTTGCCTCGTTGTTATGCGGATTTATTCGAAAACATGAGACAAAACAGTCGATCATGAGCTCGACATCGGCCCACATTGCCGACTGGGAGCTTGTGCGAACGAATGGTTTCGCTGGGTTGAATAGCAATAACTTGAGGTCCTGCATGATTGACTGCACTAGGACGAACATTACATTGGTCGAGTCTAATATGTTAATGTATGTTGAAGCTTTACACAGTTTTACGCATGTGACCGCTGCACCTTCCGTGAGCTGTTTCGAGGCTCCGTGTGGCAGTAGAGCTTTTTTAATCGAGTCCATAAATTGCCGCTATCAAATATTAAAACGTCAACAAGTTAGCATCACTTTGTATGGATTGTTCGGAATTATTGTTTCCATCTATTTACTATTATTATTATTAACCATAATTGCTGTTATTATACCTGGTATATCTAATAACAAACCTTCTTTAGATGCCTTTGTCCACATTGTAGCCCGTTTTCCGCTGCAGCGATTTCTTCAATGGCCGGGGGTATGAGGAGCAAGAGCATAATCTGCAGTGGCCATGCTTGGGCTTTCCGTTTGTTGGATTCAGCAAAAACCTCTAGCTGGTCAAAAAGTTTATCAGCAATCTCTATGAGTTCCTCATTGGGATTTTTTTGAAGGTCCGCAAACTCATTAGGGTACGTATCCAGCCAGTTCCAGATCGCTTTTTCAAGACTGTTCATAAGACAGATATGCGCATTTTTTCTCAAAGCTTTCATCTTCACAGTTGAATCTACAACGCAAAACAAAAACAAAGTTTGCAAGATCTATACGGTTACACGAAGCGAATAGCGGAACGTATGTGGCATGAGCGGAACGTCCCAAAAATGTATGCGACCAATAGAGAAGCGTGGCTTGAACGAAATGTTAGCTAAGTACGATCGAAATCTTTGGGAGTGTGCTTTGTATTCTTTTGTCGCCTGAAAATTATAGTCAGACTTCTTTAAGACACATTGGCTACAATGTCAGTGACCTCGCTTCAATAAATACAGACCCTGTAGAAGTTTAATAAGGCGGGCAATATCGAGGTTGATGTGCTGGACCAGTTCGATGTCTGAGAAGTCTGTAGTTTCTTCTGCGGTCGTACTAAGCTCTGATAGCTTCGCTGAGATCCTTGAGAACACGGTGTTAAAATTGTTCTGAGACAGAGCAAATAGCACCTTGGATGCGAGCGATTTGAGCGGGGTAACCATTGGTGAATCTGGCATATCCATAAACTGGCAGAGTTCGCGGAGAAGGGCCTTTACATTCATGGCTTCGTCGTAGCTCCGTTCGGAATCTCTGGGTTGCTGAGGGTGTACAAAAAATACGAATTGCACCCACGAAAAGGAATATGAAATAAACGTTTTCCATTATATGTTTCAAAAATCCCACAAAATCGTAGTATCTGCCAAAATTTGTCATTTTTGTTTACTGTGAACGCTAAACGCCGCGCAAGTATATTTTAATAGCAGAAAAATTAGCTGCTGTACTTAGGAAAATTGCAGTACTAACGCATTTATACACATTAACCGTGGTCGGCATTATCAAGTACTTACACTGCTCAGGCATTTCTCAAGCGTGTCCAGTACTATGAGCTGCGATTCATAATAATTTTTCTCAAATTCTGGCTGGAGTGAACCATGGGCGCGCTACAATTCAAATTCATACGTCAGGATGCAACGGTTAGAAAGATGCTAAATGAAGAACCGTTACTAGATTTCACTTCAGTTCAACTGCATAAAGTTTATACCGTGCTTATTGACAGATTATATTATATATAGATCCGCTATTAGAATTGGTGGTACCAACTGCAGCGCCGCTATACAAACCTCTGTGCTCTGTAGAATTTTGGTGAGTGACGAAATGACAAGTGAAAACTTGTATTTCGAAATGGCAATCAAACACTCTTTGTTCTGTTCGACATTTTGACGGCTGTGCGGTGTCGTTGGCCCCGAACGGCATGGGAGCTGGGTTCAAGTTCAAAGGTGTAAGCGTGAGTTCGCGTTCCCGAAAGAAGAAATCCCAGGTGATCGACAAGTGGACGGTAGATAAATGACAGGTGGTAACGATGCGAATATCAAATGAAAAGAAAATAGGAGGAAAAAAATAACGATTTATATCCATTAGGTTCTGTCAGTCAGGTAACTATACACCATATACCCTCTAACTATCAACGAGGGCAACTCTAATAAAATAAAAATAGTGCAAATAGGCCAGAGTGAGCTCTTATCTTGTTCGAATAAATACACGATCGTATGAAAATTATCCCGCAATGCACATCCCCTTTTTCGTGCATGTGGCCTGTATCAGCACAAAAGAGGGAATACAGTGTATTGTATAATTACAGAATTTTCATAAAACACGAATTCATTAATCAATGCGTCACATCGTAATCAAGCTGGAAAGAAATATGAACATAGATTACACAAAACAGATAAAAGTTTCACAGTTCTTATTGGAACTTAATCCAGTCCAGTCTTTTTTCAAAGGTCGAAGCTACCAATATCGTTTGTCAACTATCATAAACTACCTATAGATGGGTGGAGCACACTTTTGGACATATTTAGAAGATATAAGATAAAGTTACATTCGCTCTGTTCAGAGCTAACCTCCTTGCGTAAACCGATATCAAAGACCCAAATTATTTGACAAATCTCAGCTGGGAACCTTATGCCACTAAATCTAGCAGCCTGCTCTGCCATACATCACGGCCTGGCAAACCTTTCCATTTAATAAATTAAGTATACAAGCATGGTAACTTATACATTCATTTGGTTGATTCTGATCACCATTAGTAGCCAACTAAGACCGCTGGCAGAAATGCTTTGCAGCAGTGCGTCCTCTTATAGGTTTGATTTAAACTAGTTTGAAAAAATTCATTTTCTTAGGATGTTCAGAGTACGTCGAAGTGTCGTAGATAAAAAAAATGTACTCTGCAATATAGTTATATGTCAGTAATGTGCCGCTAGAGCTGAAATCGTCCGGTTCGGTGCTTAAAAATCGATTTTATGTGACTCATACTGTTCATGCAGGGGGATGCATGCGTAGTGGTGGTGCAATAGAGCCTACAATGCGACTAACATCTTGAAGTCTCACTAGCGTAAAATTTCAATTCTATCCCAAACTGCAATTTGCCCTTGCGAATGAATGGGACGGATGCAATTTAATTGGGTCGTTATTTGTTTACAATACGCTAACTCGTGCAAATGACTTGAATAAACAGCAACAATCTCTTTATCACGCATTGTAAAGATAACGAATTTTATTTCTAATCGGACGAAGCAGCAAAACGCTATCATCTTAATATCTTTATAATCACCTTTCAGACAGATGTATTGGAAGAAGAAATCTCACCGAACACCCAGCACGTTTATTGAACCTAATACCAACAAATTCTTGTCTGTGGAAATATCTCAAAGATAAATTACAGGCTAGAAGAACGACGACACTGAGTGATTCATTTGGAAATTTTGTTAAATTTCAATAAGCCATCGTTGTCAACAGTGCATTGACTGACTCGATAATCGTTTTCAACATTTGTGCTAGGGACAATAGTTATACCCTGTATGAATTTTTTTGCCATTTAAAAAAAATATTATCTGAATGGTTAACTAATATTCACTCAACTATGACATGACTATTACATAGATACGTGGAACGACTGAACTTCTCCAAACGGGTTCGGCTACCTGTACCACAAGCAGGCCTTTTACTAATCACTCTCGCCCGATATAGTGTCGTGAGACTTTATCAGTTTAAGCATCTGACAAACGCCAACAAGTTCTTATTTGTCGACAATGCAATTTGTTCGTACTGGATCTTTTGCTTAATACTGGTTGACAGCTACGAGTCCTTTCATCGAAGATTTCCTGTAGCTCGGACGCAGCTAGAATCGAAGAAAGACGGGGGCGAACAGGGTAAATTAGGGTAACCAAGCGTGTCTCGTAAGAATAGTAGTCGTTTGTGTCTACGTTATTTTTATTGGCTTAGAACGGTATGATCCAAGACCAGGGTGCATTCGTTTGTTTCCTCCCTACATGAAAAATCGACAAAGAGGTAAATATTATAATTTTAGCCTTGTCCATTTTTACAGTGACTGCAGTATTAGCGCCCTCGACAATTCTAACAAACAACGTAAACCACTGCTACTGCCACCGTTTATTACCATTACAACTAACAAAGAAATCCGTAACGACGACGATGACGACGTAATGACTTCTCTCAGCAGCACCATCAACAAGAGCAAAAAGCAAGGAACTGCGCGCCTTCCGCTCTTCGCGCGCGTACTGTAGTACTCGCGGAACAAGCGCTGCTCATCTGAGTCAGTCATTGTGTCAATCCCCGCTCGTCATTGAGTGACTGAATTCCTGCTCTGACCGCTGTGCGGCAGCCATTATAAGAGACGGTCTTAATTGTACTACCAACAGTAACAGTAATAGTAACAGTAGTAAAGCTTTGACAGTGGGTTTGCATCAATGAATGTTTCTGGCGTGGAGAGGGCACAAGGACAGTGGGAAAGGGGCCGATGCCAAGAGTCCAGCAAAGACTAGGGGGCGGCGGCGGCGGCAGCGCAGGAATCGACAGCCAACTTGTGGCTGTCTTCGATGTTAACGCTGCTGCCTGAATGAACGAGCGTCAGCGGCAGAAACAACGATGTGTATAGCAGCACCGGCGACCATAACATGGGCGGGTGCGAACAGGACGTACTAACTCATTCTTTCGTTCTCAATGGAGATGTGACGGGCTAATACGACGACAATGCAACTAGAGAACGTACAACTGCCCTGCTTCTATTGAAGATTATCCATTCGTAGAGCAATATTATATCATACAATGATATCATCTCGTTGTTGCTTCGATGTCACCTGAAAATATTAGTAAAAGGCATAGGCAGCGAGTCTGCTATCGCCCTGTTCTTAACGTAACCCTGACTTGACCGATTCACAGGTTCGTTACGTTGGAAATTGATCGAAAACAGTTTCTCATATACAAGTCGAGGGCATTTGTGGTCACTTCAGCCCCCTACTAGATTTGTTCTCGTTAGCTACAACTGGTCTAGAACGCTGTTAGTAGTAATGGTTAGACTACCTGTCTAGATAAAACGTAGATGTGCATATGCATGGTAGTTAGTACAGAGTTGTGATGATTGGCTATCTTTCTGACCGGCCAGTTGGGATTAAGCGGTCTATTATTAAAGTCGTGGCAATTGACGGACGGTGACCGGTGTCTAGTTCGTTCGTTTGCTTCTTACCTGCTCCTCGAAGCGAGTTATGAGGGAGCTGACCCACTCGACTGGTTTTGGGGTCGTCATAATGTTGTTTGTGCTGATATCGCCGATGAGTTAATTGGTGCTGTTCCTGGTGCTCTCGCTGTTGTCGTTTTGTTGCAGCAGCGGCTGCAGTGCACTCACGCTTTTACTTATTTTTTACTATTGTTGCTATATATAGCGAACTGTGTGCCACACGGAGTATCTCCTGGTGGTAAGTGGCCTGCTGGATAGGGCTGTCAGGGCTTTCAAGCCCGACCCCCTCCACACACTCGCAGACTGTGACAGCTGCACAGACGATAATTAGCACTATCATAGGTACATGCACGACTATCAGCCACTATATTCACTTACATAACCACGCATTATGTCACACATGCATACACAGTTATTGTCATCATCCTGTTACGTTATAATGACAATCTTAATAACACGCCTCGATATACACAACTAACAGCAACCAGCTAACCACGCGCAAGATGTTGATAACGGCTTGATTGACGAGCACGATCAGGCGTTTCCACTCACGCACGTTTCCCAAATGTTAGAAAAACGACCAGAAATAGCAGCACATATAAGAACGGAGACTAAAGGCAACGAGAGAAAAAAGAGGTCGTTCAACTGAGACTCTCAACTCTGTTTCTATTTATCTTGATTGTAATTCATCTTCTTTTTATTTTTCTGCATTGTGATGAAGACACCACGCTACTGCTCCGCCTAGAGACTACGCTGCCATTCTCGTTTACAAACGGTGCCCGCGGCGGCGGCGGCGGCGGCGGCGGCAGCGGCGGCAGCGGCGGCGGCAACGAGCTGTACTGATACCAGCATTGGTCTCAACTTCAACCCTATTCCCGAGGGCATTAACAGGATCTATACGCTCAGATATACGCAGTCAAAATTTGACCATTGCCATCACCACTACAATTTGCATAATTTCCTGCCACTACTTCGCCAGCAGAAGCAGCAGCACCAGCTGCTGCCGCTGCTACTACTACTATGACGGCTACTGCAATTACTGTCACCGCTATTCATACTAATAATAATAACAATAGACGCGTTTCGTACGTCTGTCCGTTGACATTCGCTTGGCGGGCGAGCCAGCTAGACCCTCAACTGGCGTCTCGTAAAGATGTACAAATGATCGGGGGGATCGGTGCTTTAGTCTACCACCTGCAGTCTGCATCAAATGTTCCCAAACGGTGACACAGGTTGTGGCACTGTTCAGCTTTCTAGCCCAACCGCGGTTGTCCACTTCTTGTTTAGTCTTCTCGATTTTTTCTAGTACTTCCTTTTCAGTTGTGGATCTCGTAGGGTTCTCTCCTTCGAGAGCTGCTGAATTTGTGGTTGCCGTCGCTGTTCTTCTCTTGGATAGGCTGGTAGCGGGCGAAAGTGCTTACGGCAGCTGGAATGGGGATCACTGATGTTGGTATTCAGTGTACGAGAGCCGTGAACGGTGCACGCCACGAGACCAATTCTCCACGGCGAAAACTGAGTTTGACGTTGCTGTAGTAGTAGTTGCAGGAGATAATGTTTTTGACGTAATTGCGGTTACGGCTGTTGGCGTTATGGGTACGAAGGATCGTGCGGCTGCTGCCGATATCGGCTTTGCTCTTATTATTGTCGAACAGAAGGTTGTTAATGGCGGTTTTCCTTTCACTGAGGCTGAAGCTGATGCTAGGACGACGTCGACGACTACTGCTGTTCCAGTGCTGGTTTGATGTATCGACATTGCTCCGGCTGACGAACGCCATCTTCTTTCACTGATGTTGTCACGGGCAGACCACCCACTCTGTTTGTTCTAACGACAGTCCTTCGCAACGCGAGCTAGTCTCATCCGCAAAACTTTACGCCACTCTGCACTCGCTCTCTCTTGGTCGAGCTAAAACTCTGATGAATTACAACGTCTACTTGGAACGGTAACTGGACTGATCGGATAAACTCTGTAGACGATAGACCCCACCATGAACGAGTGACAGACAAACAGAGGATCACTACTGAGGAACAAAAACACTCCCGTTTTGCCTATCCTGGCTCTTACTTGTTGTTATCTCTCTGCCCCCCCCCCACCAGTTCTCTGTCTGGCCCCGTAATTGTTGGCAGTTAGGACAGAGTAGAGGACCACGCTCGAAATTGACCTCGCCGACACGAATAGTAAGGTCGTCGTTTCGACGGAAACGGCTTCTGCTCTCTTCCCCGGCCTGTCTTTCCGCCGCTAGGGCTCCTATTATCGTCGTAGCTGGGTTTCGACTGCCGCTTTCACAGGTTGATCTGACGGTCCGCTAGATGCGGTAATCACAGGCGCTACAAAATAACACGGCCACAGTCAAATCAACGGCGGCACCAAGACTGAGCTCAGTTCCGTCATCACATCACTTGTTGTTACTGCGGCCCTTGATGTTATTGTTGATGTTGGTGTTGACGCCGTAATCTCCACAGGGGTTCAGTGGATCGTAGTGAGGTAGCGAGGTCGACACCCCACAGCAGCAGCAGTAGCAACGAAAAGCGCACTATTGACACCTACACCACATTGCCCACTGCAACTACTACTACTGCTGCTGTGATTATTAGTTCTTCTTCTATTAGAAATGGCAGCCGTCGTAAGGAGGCTTTATCCGCTAGCATCACCATTAGCAACACTGCAACGACATCAGCAGCGACGGCAGCGGCAAAAACTTTACGGGTGCCACTGTAGCTGCCGAAGAGTAGAGCTAGACTGTATGTATGCACTATGTTCTATGGCTATAACAATCAACCAAGCAGTCATCATCAATGCGGCCGCTCGCCACTGTTCTGGCCACCGCTGTCTGTCCGTCTGTATGTGGCTCTCCGCCGTCGCCGCAGCAGTAGCGGCAGCAAGCCGTAGCTATAGCGGCTACTAAGTCGTCGTCCGTCCGTCGCTCGCTCAATTCCTCGTCGTCTCTTCTTTCACGTTGTGCGACGGCCGATGCTTTGGCTGCTGCAGCTACAGCAGCAGCAGCGGCGCGGTGCCAGCGGCACCGTAGCTGCACCAAGCCGTACGTGCACTCTCACACAAGCCGCCGACAAGCTCTCACAGGCACCAGCGATTACGGCGAGTAGAGACACCGCTCGACGTACCACAGGGTCACAGCAGAAACAATCGCCTGCGGCAACAGCAGCAGCAGTAGTAGCAGCGACGGCAGCTGCAAGGTTGTAAGCATCAGCGCTAGCAGTACTTAGTGGCCGCCATACGAAAGCGACAGAGGAAGATATACGGGCGGAAAGACCAATCGTCGTCGTAGATGGAAAGTGCTGGGACCGAAGGCGCTTCCACAGCCGCTGCAGTGAGCCGCTCGCGTACCACAGAAAGCGTGCGTATAAGCAGACAGATGGGTGCCCTTCGTACCACGCGCGCTCGCACACCGTCAATACAGGCGGCTTCACAGGCGAAAGAAGTTCGTCTGTATCGCTCAACCTATAGAGTGGAGTCGTTTCAGCGTACCACAGGCGCGGGGGAAATCATACAGGAAAGCCGAACATTCGCGTACACGTATATGGCATTTGTCGAGTGCGAGAAAGCTGATCGCTGGGGATCGGCCGTGTCCTTTGTACGTGCGGAGTTCGTATTATATTATGCCGCCGTGACACGGCGGGAATACGCGGACCTGTTTGCACGTCGATCGAGCGCAGCATCGAGAGTACCACATAGGATGACCAAGACAGTTGTACAAACGGGTACGCATACATACATTTCAGTCACACAGCCATTCCTAATTACGAACACACACACACACGCAGACACGCGCCACAAACACCCACACACAGACACATCTACATGCTGAGACGCACAGTCAAACGAACCCTCGCCCGATCGGCTCGCAGGCGCCGTTGTTCTATAGCATTTCCATAACTACTAGATCCTGCTTGCCCGTGCCTTGAAATCATCTGGCGTAATGCGGTGATCATCTCCAATGCATGAGACGATCGCACAACTTAATAGGACGTTACTATTTTTTCGAACCTGTACACGAGTGAATCGTGTTTGCGTAGGTAGATTGCTGACCGTATCAGAGTCTGCGTGTCTATGCTTAGTTCTCTGGAAGCGAAAAGGGGATAGCGAAAAATGGGTCGAAACCTCCAGGAACACGGCCAGAAGTAAGGAAAAACAATAAGAGTTTCAAGATAATTTCTCCTCATTTGTTCACAGCCTTTAATCGGTACGACTACGAGGACCACTGCCGCATACAGCCCACATACACAATACAAAGACACGTATTCTTCTGCTGGTGGGACTGTGGTAGTTCTAGGCGAGCGGGTTTTGTTCGATACGGAGTGGACTAGGAAATAGAGAGCGCATCGTACCTAGAACTTCTAGTGGCCATAGATTCTTCAGCTACCAATCGCTCACCATAGGCGGGTGAAAATAAACAAACTTACACGGAATACAAGACTCATAGGTGAACCAAAAACGATCTCTCGTTCTCGGTTAATTAATGATCATCTGCCCCATCAGACGACAGTAGTTAGGCAAACGGTAGATAATTTTCGTCTATTGCTTCGCTGTGCATCAGCAGTCCACTCGGTAATAAATACGCTCTAACAATATCGTCCAACAACTATTAGAAATTACCATTCCCATTTTTCAGCCACTGAAAAAATAGACAAAGATGCTTTTCAAGCTGTTTGTTAGGCTAATTCATGCTTGCATATCGTTGTAAATAAATAATGTGCCGCAGGCATTTAAAGTTTCCGAGTGCTACTTCTATCTAATGAACTTAATAATATAATGCATACTTTTGTGCGAAGGCTAGTCCGTATTGACAGGTATCACCACTGTACAATGAGCACTGCAATATTTTACTTGTCGAATGCTAAGTAACTCTCATCGGTGGTGGAAACGAGGTCCATGCGACGACAGCTTAACAAATATTTAGCACTATGTTCTTTCATCTACCTCTGTTTTCTTTACGTATGGTCAGCCGATAGGTAGCAAAAATCTGGACCGACATTAATCTATTGTGCTAGCGACGGGCTGAGGTAAGAAATGTGAAGCTGTGCTTGAAAAGTGGTGCTATCTATTAGGATCCTAATATTTTGTAAGAAATAATTTCTATGATATACGTATTTACGTTGAATCGATATAACGATTCGTATCGTACTTGCTTTGTTAATTTATCTGCTTTTCAGCATGAGCCCATGTGATTAAAGCTTAGCATGAACGTAGTTTTTAATAAAAAAAAAAGGTACCAAAAATAAACAGTCAGCGAAGTCCTTGTTAATTAACTGAGTGCAACTCATTCGAATATCTGTGAAGTTAGTTGCAGTAGAATTCAGTTATAATTTTCGTATAACTTTTTTTTACCAGTCCCTCTGACCAAATGCCAGTCTGTCCTCGTACAAATTGTCCAGAAATTGTATGTCATAATGGTTCGTTCTCTCAAACCGACCCTTAAACTTATATTAAACAAAATTGGGGCTTCTTTCGTCTTTTTTTAAAAATAAATTAATATTATATATACACACGATTATTTACAGTTTGTGTATGGCTTCCAAGATCAATTCAGCATAATATTTTACTCCTTTTATCGCTAATAAAAACATTAAAATCGAAACGACGAGATATAATAATGCTAAAAAATTACGGAATCTGTAAACCGGTAAAAACCTGAAAAAAAAAAACATTTTCTTTATATCTACACACCTAAACGTCGTAAAGATAGAAATATCATTCCGACTATGTTAATTGGCAATAGCAAAGCTAAATTATCAGATCTGACTACTTACCAACGGAAATATATATCTGCAGTCAATAGCATATAACTTGTAACTCCACCTGGAACGTCTCTTGTCAGATCACGAACAAATGTTCTAGACAACAGTGAAAATAAATTATATCCTTGAAAGACATGAGACGCGCATGAAAATACGATTATCTTTTAGGTTTACACACACACTCCTATTTTTCAAATAGGCCTTAATACACCTGTATGAGCTGATCGGTACTGAGAGTTGTAGACCTTATTATAAGCATATTGTAATTTATTGTAAGGACCCTAGAAAAATCGTAATCGACGTAGCGAAATCTCGCTGGTCTGTTATATTTCCCTATCTGTCGAAGCGAACTTCCAGTTGGCATCAGACTGCTGTCCCCCCATATAGAAGGACCACATTAAAAGTTTCAGCTGGGAGAGGAATAGCTTATGAGAGAGTGAACTTGGCATTATTTTAGACCACATGCACGCAAAAATATGTTTCCGTGTCACAGTTAGGTATTCAAATTCAAGCACCTAAAATTTTGTCCACCATTTATTTCTCATCTGTGTCACGGTCGTCCAATGAATAACATATCGCTTGAACAAATGGCGTACTGTGCCAAAATACAGGCGACACCTGTTTATCAGTATCAGTATTGAGCTCGGGTATCGACTTGCCTTCAACGTGCACTAAATTCGAACGGCGTTTAGCGACGAATTCTGAGTGCATGCACCGAGATACGGTTGACATGCGTGTTCAGCACATAAGCCCCCATGCGACTGCCGGTCAACGTTTGATTAGTAAGCTATATGTGAGCGAGCGTTTCTTCCGTCGTACGCGCTTAGTGTAACAAAAACCGTCACCTCGTGTTAGTTATATCTTCTAAATAACATAGACTCATTCCTATCGTTGGTGAGTTGGATTTTGTGCCTGGATCGCGTGTGTGAGAACAAGTAAAGCCATTCAAAAACGCGGAGGTTTCCTCCCAAACAATGTTTCATTCTGCTTCGACATACTGACGTAAGCAGTGTAAGGAGCCAAATGCATGAACCTCACCTAATCACGAGAAAAAGGATATCATTATACGCGACCTACCTCTCATTTTCACGTTTTCAGACTCAGATTGCTATAGGGTTGTCTATCACCGTTTACGCAATTAATGCGTAAGTACGTTTTAGTGCGCAATGTAATACATACGTAGAATAATTGTAGATATTTACCTTTACTGCTGCTGTTAACGTTAAATCCGGTTTAACGTTAACAGAAAGAGTTAGCCTTTTCGCCATCCTCAGCAAAAGCGCCTGCTGATCTTGCTAATGAAGCTTTCATTTGATTCGTCAAGTGATCAACCTAGCAGTGAAGGGGCGTATTAGCATTGTTCAAAATACTTTTGCTCGTTCCATATCTTTAGCCTATAAATGACTGTGTGGTATGAAAGTTCGAGACGTTTCGTGTTTTAACTTATACAAGCAATTTAGTACTTCAGTTAGGTAGTGGCAGGCGATATTTGCCAGTAGATATATGCAATGTAGCAAATACGCACGATAAACATATCATGATAGCATCGAGGTACGTTGTGTAGCAGAAAAATGGTTTCAATCTTTTTCGTCGGTCGTACGATTATGTCAAAGGATAACTTGAATTCGAAATGCAGAATCAGCGAAATATACATGCAAGGTAGCGTTCGAACTACGTGGAACCCACTTACTGAACCAACTATTACAGATCAAAGGAAGCATTCGGCAGGAGGATTTTTTGACTGACGAAGTGTGATGCAGGCTGTCGATTTGTAAGGCTATCTTCCTCAATATATCCACATGCATGGCTTAAACATTTGGCCAAGGTAACATTTGATTCTAATGAACTTTTCATGTCGAAAGTGCGTGTAAGAAATAAAATAATCAAGAAGATCACTTGTACATCGGCTAAAACAGAACCACTAAACATTTGCACTGTCCTGCACCGTGTGATCTTTTAGCACCTAATATATTTAATGGCAGACGTAAAGTCCCTCGCCCGACTAAAAGTATGAAGGAACCATCACTGTTGTATTTCAGTTTGAATTTGATACTTTAAGCGTCATCTGAAAAAACTAATTTGTCGTGACAAGCACCGCTTATGAATACGCTGTACGAATGTATAGCGTAGATAAACGCTGTCAAAAAGCGAAAGCCATATTTGGAGGCTAGTCAATTGAAATAGGTATTAGTTGGCAGTTAGTTTATTGAAAGAGCTATTGGAGATCTGATGTACTAAGTTGATCGATTATTGAGCAACTGGCTTGTTTTCATTATAAACGACGGAACGTGTTCTCAGGTAGGGCAGTAGAGCTTAGTGCTGCCTGTGTGAACTCTGTATCGAATTTCGCAGCTTGTCAAAAATGCCGTTCATTATTTACTTTCAATAAAAAAAATATTAAACATTATCGGCAAATCTATAAAGTAAGAAGACTGCGTCGATACATATGCATTATCCATGCGAATCTGCGCATTATCCATATGACGTACGTACTAATATGTTTATTTTAACTTAATGTTTCGTTATTTAGCGCGTATTACGTCTATTATTTTTTCCTACATTCTTCAATCAACATGTGATGATTGTTAAACTTAATTACGCCGTTATATATATATATATATATATATAACGGCGTAACTAAGTATATATATATATATATAGTACAACAATTAATTGACTTGCCATCACTTTCACTAGGCCCACTTTCGCTGTCAAAATTACTGTCGGCTAAAAGAATGTTCGTCGATGCAGGCAGAAATCCTATTTTTAGACTATCCTGCACTCGTTAGATGAACAAGTTCGTTATATTTTATTAGTATCAGTAGTACAGATTTAATGCAGAATAGAAATATCTGTGTAGAGTGTATTACGCCTTCTCTATCGATATCTGGTGTGAGCGTGTTTTTTGAATTTTGGCGGGTCTTTGTCTGCTGCTTCAATCAGACGCGGCGACTCAGTCAAAGACTGAACGCAATAAGATAGCAGCAAAAAACGTCTGGTCGCGAAATTTGACGAAGGATTTGTGAAAACGGAGTTTTTTTTCCAACGTTTAATTGTTCTTGTGTCACTGGGCCGTTGGCCATTTGGCCACACAGAATGGGTAAGTCAGACGAGCAAGCCGTACAAGCGTGATAATGTTTTGCCTGCTAAGGCGTTTGTCGTAATTTCAAACAGAGAGGCCGAAGTCAACCGGTGCGTAGGGTTTCCAACGGCTCTCCTTTGAACGCATAACGAACCTATGAAAGCTTCAACGTTGATATGACATGGCGTGTATAAATTATAAAAGGACTCGCTTTACTACACACCGAGCTTGATTGGTATCTATCGATGCTTACGCTATATAACGGCAACCGTTTAACTAAGCGCAATAGAGCAGCAGCTGGTGGATGAACAAATAAATAACTTACGCTCTATGTGGCAAAACTGAAAAGTTCCAACTGTTAAACTCGTCTTTTTCAAGCTGCATCATGAAGATGCGCGCCCGCCACCCACTAGATGTTTATCACATATCGAAATATTACAGCCGTCCGTTGGAGATGTTATTTAATAATGCTAAGCAAACAGCTAAACAGCTCGTACGTAAACTAGGTATTGTATCCTTAAAAGTTCACCTTTAGGATAATTTTTGTACATAAAGTGAACTTAAAACGACACTTGTAATGGACTTAGAGCATGTGACAATATTCTACATAGTGGTAATTAACGGCAAAATAGGATATACATTAGGAAATAGTGTTTTAATGAGGACAGGTATTCATAGTCCCCATTAATTTTTGTTGCTTTTGTAATATAATAAGCTGTAACAACAAACGGCTTCCTGAATACACAACTGGAGGATCATAAACGAGTAACACCTAATTTTTTTTTTGTTTAATTTATATTTGATACAAGTCGCTTCTTTCTTCTTTCTCGCAAGTGTTTTTTCTAAGTAGTCTTTGGTATAATTTTGCTTTGTGGTGTTCTCTTCTCCTTCACTGAACAATGTCAATCAGCCTAGTGACCGCTCTCGCTAGTTCTTCAGAATAGCAGATTAGCAGTTTAACTACTGACCTTAAGGTCACTTCGGATTAAGTCATAATTTAATAATAAGAACGTAATAGCATTTAACTGGGCACTTACATTAACTGTGCCATTTCTTTGTGTGTTTTAGTTCGGATGCCCCAATGATTGAAGGTAGCACAATAATATCCATATTAATGGTTACTATTTTACGAAGACAGTAAGATGTAATGAATGTTTGATAGCTATGTTAATACGGCTTTAGTATATATTGCTTCTCTAACTGCATGCGTTTGGTCTTTGTTTCAGCGACGATGGAGAATTATACAAAGATAGAAAAGATCGGGGAGGGTAAGTTAATATTGCGGAAAATCTTGTTAGTTAAATAAAGTGCAATTATTATCCCGAAATCACACTCGAACGGTTGTTTGATTATAATAATAAAAATGGCATTAATATTAATATTACGCTTTGCGTGGACATCTCGGTTATATACGCAGGAACCTACGGTGTCGTTTACAAGGGAAGAGATAAGCGGTCAAACGAAATCGTTGCAATGAAGAAGATCCGCCTGGAAAACGAGGATGAAGGAGTTCCATCGACAGCCATCCGTGAAGTCTCGACACTGAAAGAGTTGCGCCACAAGAACATCGTCAGGTAGGCGATATTCTATACTGCTACAACTACATAGGTCTGATATTACACCGCGTTTATTGTATGAACTGAATGGGTAACCATTTTTGTGATCGGCAAAGTAAATTATGTGACTGAGTCAGAATAGAAGGTTGAAAACTTCGGCCTTTCGCTGACAGTGTTTTTGCACTAACCGCTCGACGCGCGCTAAAAGCTTCCTTTCGTGTGTTTTCATAGATTCTTGAAAGAAGTTTGTTTTATATATTAGACGAAGCCGTAAGAAGCAGAATGAATCATTTTCTTGATTTGTTGACATTCTGTTAGCCTATTCGGTTAACTTTTAGACAACAAATAATAACTGTCATAATACTGACTAATAAAAATTTCGATGGGATTCTTATACCATGTTTTTTTAGCTGTTATAGAGGGTGAAAACCTTATACAAACCTTATGCAGTGTTTTCACCCTCTATAACAGGCAAGGTTAGTTCGTCGACGAAGTAGTCACTCCATGTACTTCATCCAAAGATTTTGGTTGTTCAATTGGTGAACCTAACAGAAACTGTCCGATTATATATGATCTTCCAGTCTAATGGAAACAGTATTACCGGAAGGCAAGCTGTACCTGGTCTTCGAATTTCTTAAAATGGACCTCAAGCGCTACCTCGACACCTGTGTACCGAAAAAGGAATTCCTGCCGGAACCCGTTATTAGGCAGTTCATGTACCAACTGCTGGACGCTATCTTCTTTTGCCATCAACGACGCATTATCCATCGCGATCTCAAGCCTCAAAACATTCTCGTTGGCAATAACGGCGACCTTAAGATAGCGGACTTTGGTCTGGCGCGTTCTTTCAGTGTACCGGTTCGCGTTTACACCCATGAGGTTGTTACGCTATGGTATCGCGCACCAGAGGTTCTTCTTGGTTCACCCCGATACTGCACGCCCGTTGATATTTGGTCCCTTGGCTGTATTTTTGCCGAACTGTACACGAAAAAGCCTTTGTTCCATGGTGATTCTGAAATTGATCAACTTTTTCGAATCTTTCGCACATTGGGCACCCCCCGCGAGGAAGAGTGGCCCGGTGTCTCATCAATGCCCGACTACAAGCCGCATTTTCCCAACTGGCGGACGAACATTCTATCTGCAAACTGCGACGCCGTGAGGGGCCATGCTCTTGATTTGTTGCAGAAATGCCTTGTCTATAATCCGGTCAAGCGGATAACTGCGCGAGCAGCACTCGAGCACGCGTATTTTGAAAACTTCGATCCCGAAAGCCCGGTTAAAGTGCCGTATGTCTAACGGAGACCAGCGCCGGGAGTGCGCGCCATCAACTTGGGTTCGTATCGTTTCCAATTAACATCAACGATATTGCTCCATGGTACATAATGCGATGCTCGCTTCTATGAACAAAACCAACGACAGTAACCCCAACAAACCAGATATCTTACAAGTTTCATAAATATTAGTGAATCTGAGAATAGAGACAAAATGTTTTAATGAGATAGCATCAGAGCTAATGTAAAACGCTATGGTCAGAAATGAACTTTCGATGAAAAATGAGCATTCGACAGCCAAAACAAGATACAAATATACGCTGACTGGCAGAGTTGTGAATTAGCGGGTTATCGACGAATATAAAGGTACGACCTAAGCAAATTAGGATTATCATTCATGTCACTCACATTGGTTAGTAATAAAAGAAACAATTAGCTATTGTCTCGCTAGTTATTGCACTGCTCGTATAATTGACAACATAGTTGTTATTACGTATATACTTCTTCAAAACCGGACACACGCATGCATTGACTTGAAATTTAGTTCAGGCAACAGACTTGGTCATCGCTGGGGAAACGTACGTTTTCGTGATGTTCTTAGATTTTGGATTGACGTCGTAAATCATGAGTTTTCATTTAGGACAACAGAAAAAAGTAATGGATAAGCTAATTATACTGTCTGTTCGTTGTTGTGTAAATTTAGATATAAGATCGACTTACGTGTGGACACTTCAGACCCGTAGCTGAGTCTTTTTAAAGAGATAGTGTTGTATTGTCTCTAAAAAGATACAGCATCTACTGTATGATGGATGGCAGAACTCTACGGGAAAATCAGCGTACCGTAAAATGCTCTCCAAGCAAATATATTATAATAGGCAGTATTACTTCAATTTGACCAGCGCCCAGTACTGCACGGAAGCAAAGTATCTCGCTGGCGCAACCGGAATAATGTAGCGATGAAGTCCAACTTAACGGATTCTACATATAATAGACTACAAACATGCTTATAATCGAACAAAAAATATGATGCAAGCAAAAGACACTTATGACAATATCCTTGCCTGTTCCCCCTTTAAGAGTAAAGTTTTATTACGCTGCCTACATGATGTAACGTGGCGTGTGTTGCTATCACCTGCCTTCAGCCCGTCTAGAAGTAAAAACGTTGCTTCAAGACTAAGTGGTACGATGGGCAGTTACGATGATGCTGTGACTAGGTTTAGGAGAAAACAGATAGCTCTTCTCGCTTCGGTCAGGATACGTGTTGTATATTTGATAAAAATAGGGAAAATTCGAGTCCATGTAGTGAAAGGCCTCGGACACCGCCGCGCGCTATAATGATATTGAAACGCCGTCTATTGCGGGACATGACCACGGTTTGAATGAACGACGGCGAGTATCTAAAACACTGTATATTACTGCCTTGGATGCCAACTATATAAAAAGTATATATACACTGATAAACTTAATAAATATATAAGCGCCAGCTAATAACTTCGTCTTTTTTCTAGAATCACATAATAATAGACTGAAGGATAATTTCAAATACAATCGTGTGAGTCGTTTGACGAGTACAACTAAAGAGTGATTTGCTAGATGCCTGATTGGCCAACTAGACTCTAAAGGAGCAACCGTACTAATATTTTCAAATTAGAATTCATCGAGCACGGATGAGAAGCGCAAAATTTGCCCTGTTTCGGTTAACACGAATATATAACACTATAATTAATGGCCCCCAAACAGAAATACCTTCAATTTCTAGAGTTTTATTGTATCCCAGTTCTAAATATGACTTTTGATTACTACTTTTGGTAAGTTGTGTATAAATCGTTGGTTAATTTATTCCTTCTTCTGAGTAGATAGATTCGAGTTTAAAGCTCTTATAAACAGAATGCCTGTAACGATTTAGAACGATTTAGTGGGAAAAATCCAAGACAAGTGTATTTTCGACCTGACGCCATTCAGAACTTTCAGGAATCCGTTACTATGGCTTAAATGAATGTTACTTCGAAGTTTTAATATTCCCTTTAACTTTGTTCACTTGATTCTGTTGCTATTAGCGAGACAAACTATTCTTTATAAACTTCCCATTAACCTGGCCTCCGGGCTAGGTTAGTTAGTTAGTTAACTATAGTAAGCTTAAAGCTCATTATGCTCGTAGAGCACGATCCAAATTGTACTTGCAAATTTATTGCAATGTGAATGATACACGCAAACGATTAGACATTTTTCAATCCAAATCAGTTTTACTGGTTACAAAATGTTCGAAAACTTACAGCTTGATGAAGTTCGCATCATAAAACCGTGAACGCTAGGCCTAAAGCATAGCGTTCGTATCTGTCGTAAGATATGGTCAAACTGAAGTGCGCAAGCCGGTCAAATAACGAATTAGATGAATAAGCGATCAAACATCCACGTAACAAAGACTTACCCTATTTATATCGAGCATTTGAAGAAAGGCATCTAATTCCTTACCGTTGAACGTCCGCCATTGTTCCAGCATCTAGTTCCATAGTTCCGAAAAGCATCTGGTCTGCTTCCTTCGTGTACCTGGCATCACGTTTGAATAGTCTTCCCTGCTGGACAGTGATGAATTTTACACCGTGCGTTGCAAGTCCAAACCTGAACACGTCGAAGTGGACAGAATAGAGATTTCGATTAAAGCAAATAGTGTGCTTAGTTTTTGTTGAGCTCTGGAACTCGTGACTATCATTAACATCAAACGACTTCTCCTAGTAATCGAACCTCTAAAAATTCACTAAATACTATGGACCATGAGGTAATGCTGTCGAACTGCAATGATTCGGATTATACTTCCATAATTATCTGGATTATATTGACTTGCCTATCAAAGTCCAACGGTGTTGCCATTCTGTCCAGCCCAGTATTCTCAAGATAACCTGTTCCACCGCCACACTGATAGGCAATTGTGTTTGCACACACACCACTTTGTGGGGTCGTCCAGAAGGCGCAAACCTTAATTCAAATGCAATGTTTAACAGTTAAGTCTTTATCATATGGCTCACTGTATTTTATTTTACTTTTTCAGGCTTTAGAATTTCAGTCTGGAATGTTACATCTAAGAAATGATAAAATGGTGTAGCTTGTTTCAAGTTACTTAACTTGCTGTATAAATTGTTCAACGAAAGTGAATGTTAGGTACATACTCGTGCCTTTCGATTTGAGTACACTGCTAAATCCTTCAAAACCGAATTTAACACCACGATAGGCTATTGTTCCTGCTACCATAGTAATGCCGTTAATGACTCGTGTCTTATGTTTAAGAAGAACTAAGAAGAGTGTGTTTTCTATAAGCAACACTTGGACAATAAAATTTACTTGTGTCTGTAGCGAGAGACAATGAGGCCTGTATGTAAATAACATGGTGAAGATGTTTTCGGATTATAACTTCGAAGCCGATTCAATCTTGAACTCCGATTTGAACTCACAAGGCATTTCGTTAACAGTTAAAATTTGAGAAATTATCAGGGCTGATTGACATTCTCGACAGAATCAAGATAAGCCAATTAGAAACGTAAGTGCCTAGTTTCGAAAATTCATTTTCGAAGTTGGATAGAACTTGATTAAAAATGTAGATTTAGCCTACAGTTAAGTGCGGTTTTATTGCATTCGAACTTAAGCTAATGTTCAGTTATGAATAGGCGATGCCTTAGATATAAAATATCGATTCATTCAAGTGTGTTCATTGCTACGAACTTTTTATTGTTGTTAAAATTGCGTTTCTCTATGAAAAAAAGCAACTGATTTTGGCTTTTTTGAATCTCACTTATGGATATAGAAAGAATCGAGAAAACCTAATTTTCAGACAAATTTCTACATATACACCTACAGCTTTGCAATACTAATATTGCTACTATAGAACCCCAAAGATCATGTAAAGCAGACGTAAAATTAATAAGCCAAATAACAGTGTTTAACTGATCAGAATATTTTATTAATACGTATAAATATTAATATTCAGGTATTATCAGCACAGCGATTAAGCTTTTCTGTGGAGGACCACCAATCGAGTTTCTTTTCCACAATCAGTCCCGCCCTGTTGATAGTACCATGCAGACGATTATCCCTTTCTGGGTAAGTCTTTCACCAACCCGATTATAGAATCTTTGTCTGCTAAGTCCATAACGCGAACGTGCACTCGTAACATTTGCAGAGGCTGACTGATATAATTTCATATGAGATGGCTATCTCTAACGTAAACATGCTCACTCAACATAATCTGCGTATATATTAGGCTTTTCAATTGTTAATTTGAATTGATAACATCGTGAGGGCTGACCCTGTTTCGAAGAACAACCGCTATGGGTCTGGTGCGGTAGCAAACACAGTAAACTCCTCAGTGAGCTGCATGTCGAGAGAGTAAAAACAGCGGACGTCTAGGGTCTGAGAGAAAGAAACCAAAGTTTACCTGATTAGTATTTAGTCAAATTATAATTCAAATAATGTATAACAGAAGTTTGCGTATAAAATTATGCCGTTGTACACGGGTGATCGCTATTTTACTTTATGGCCAGCCATCTGTCCTAACGTCTTTTGACAGCTGGCTGCAGTCTATAGATTAACCACAGCAGAAAGGTGGCGCAGACTGCTCCACAAGGAAGCTAATACCGTAAACATGAATTGACCGAAAAACACTGACGACCCGAGGCATCAAACCAACCGATTGTAAGTCGGCGAACGCCTTTACAACAGATGTTCACCTTGAAGATCGACCTAATTGTAAGTTTCGCATCAGTAAGTCATCGAGCAGTTGGAATCCTAAAAGCCGTGTCCAGCTATGTTGGGTAGCGACTACAACGACTGCTATCGTCTTCATGTTATATTTGAAAAAAAAAAAAAACTTTGAAGAGCGTTAGCAGTTAGGAATTTTGTAGTGAATTTATAAAACTATACTTGATTGGATAATTGCAAACGAGAAAAATAGCCTACAGGAGGATTCTACAGATAGTTTCGAAATTGATTGATGTAGTAGTGTCATACCTGATTCACAAGTCTGCTCTAAAATCATATACAATAGAATATAAATAGAATAGCTTAAGAATGTGAGATCTTCTTTGTTGATTTTTGGCGTAACCAATATTGAGATTAAACAAGATTCCTTAAATATTTGAAAAAAAAAAAGCCTTTTTTTTAGCCGACATTTGGGTTCTCGAGTTTTTTAGACATTACTGAAGCCTAACACTGCGCGGGGTCAGCCGCGTTGTCATGCAACCTTCTCTATTTAGTTTTCTAATGGGTCAATATTTGTCGATTGATTGAAGTCATTCTCTTTATAGATATGATATAATAATTTATTACTTTTTACCCCTGCTTCGTCCGAATGATTCTCAAGGAAAGTTTTTCAGGGCATTGCAGAAGCATTTCTGAGTCAGTGATTTCCAATTCAATGAATTAACAGATAGTGACCATTTGAATTAGTATAATAACATAATTGAAACGTTATCGTTGTCATGATGATATTATTTATACCAGAACCTTAAGAAATTTTGAATTGCACAACCAAATACACAGGGTTCGCGAAAAAGTTCCGAGCTAATAATACAGAACAGCTTTTTAACATTGCGATGTTGAATAAATTGGCGATCGGATAGAAACGAATTTACGTTTCGTCAAAGTGGCAAAGCTATTACTTGTCCACGAAGAAAATCACTAGAAAATGTCTGATAGCGTTCAAGACTTACATACTGTTTTAATAGTATCGTTTTAATGCACAAGCTTCTATTGCTAAGCACAGTAATATTAAAGTGTACAATATTTCTTCATTCTTGATGGTATCTTATGCTACAATAACAAATTTTAAATTCTACCGTTTTAATATTAAGTTATTTCTGGGCACGACTCTGTTGTTCAGAAAATACCTCTAGACAACTGGGCAATTTTACACGAGCATTTCCGGGCGGGCAAACTCATTCATTTCGTTATTCAGAGTGACACCGTCTGTCTAAATGACGGTCCTACTAGGCACACACACACACACATGCACACGCGCTCACACACATGAAAACGCAGATATTAGTGCTTTTCATGTTAATAATTTTCACCTTTGAAGAAATATAAACTCCTTTAAGTCCACGTGTGGAAAGCAATTTTTTGCAGCTGGTCTATGACGGCTTTCAATTAAGCGCTTTCCGTTTGTATTGCCGTTTAACTAGGCTACTCAGCTTCGCCGTATTTCTCTGCCCTAACGGTAAACAAACCCCTCTGATGTGTATGTCAGCACACACATTGGTGCAGCGAAAAATGCATTTCAAAGGCTTTTTTTGAAAATCTTGAATTTTTGATATGATAATTGAGAAGCAAAAATTATGTTACTAGTGGCGTACATAATTAACAGGCCTATATAAATAATAAAGGTCAGAGAATAAACAAAAGCAATGCTATAGTTCATCAATTGAACGGAACTATATGTGCCATGTAAGGCACGAATTTCTAGTAGTTAGGGGCGAAACAGTTTTATAAACCGTTATCGGAGACTAACTCACTGTTTAAATTCTCAGCAAGAAATCAATACTTTCAATTGGAAACGCACAGAACTATATTCGATTTGCTATATATATGCAATACAGTAGACCTGTGCTAAAAATACCTCTATGCCAAGAAGAATATTTATCTGCTCTAGCATTAGTACCTACTCCCCCTTATTTCACGGTAATATCAGTCACTTTTGACTGAAGTGCGGTGAAAAATAGCATACTTCGATACCTCGCTCTCCAGTTCCACTTCCACAGAGTTACTTGGCTAGGCAAACTGTTTCATTTACTTAGATATCTACTGCTTCTTTAATCTTAATATGTTAAACACGTTCACTTTTTTCTCGTGTATCGATAGAATTGTCTCCCAGCGCAAGTAAGAAAGAATTAATTTCACTGTTAAGCAAACATAAAGCAACAACAACAAAAAAAGCTCCAAAAAGTCGTTGGAAATTGGTACGATCGTTAATAAGAGATTCGAACCGACGATACACGAGGAGGAATCAAACGATAATTGAGTCATTAAATAAAAAAAAACGAAAAATAAATCATTAAAGTTATAGCTGTCGAAAAAGTTTTTAGATAAATTACGGGCAGAGTATCGAAGCAAGCAATTACAGCAGCATCTATCTTCACACATTAGGAAACGTATTGAAGTCTTACGATTGGCGGGATATTTAAAATAAGTAGCTGTTACGAGATAAGGCAACTCTATGAAACTAAGGCATCTAGCCGGCTCTCTCTCACTGAGGTGTTTCCTACATGTCAACATGAAAAGCGTCTTGCCCTCGTTTGGGTATGATGAATCAGCTACTCATGGAAAAGGCTAACGACTGGTATAAAAAAAAAAGGACAGAAAGACGACCATATGCGAAATTTTGAAATTAATTAAAATAGGTTTCGTATAATCAAAGCCTTCCGAGTCATTTTCTACTGGGCTAACAAATTTTAAAATGTTGAATGCAGGACGATGAAGATAATAGCCAAAACATGTAAGGCTGTTTATAAAACAACAACTGTGCAAATAAAATTTTTGAGTTCCCCTACTGGTAAATTTCCATACAAGTGGGGTTTTTCCTATAAAAGAAATGTTTGCAAGCTCAGCTTTACTATCAAATATAAATATAACTTCATTCCAACGCAGACTTCTAGTCTCGTCCCTTGCAGTCCTTTTTGAAAGCCTGGTGATTTTTTTACTTGTCTTTATCCTTTTCCCCGTAGCATGTCCTTTTTCAGTAAAATTATTAAATAGGTGATATTATTGCCTGCTTCAAATTTACCGCCGTATGCCAACCACTATTTTCTAAACTTCTTTTACGGCCATTTTGAAAGCTCTTGTTTAACCTGCTGTTCCATACCCGATGGCACTATCTCTATGAAGAATAAAGGTGGGCCCGCGCAAGATCTTTGCAGGACACGCGCGTGGCGTCTCGTTTAAACTTGTGTCCCAAGGCTTTGTGATCTATTTTAAGTTTGTGCGGTTTCAAGATAAGACGGAAAGTACGAAAAGTAAGTGACGGAAAAGCTAAGGTAGAATCCCTATGGTAATAACTTCGACATAGTATGAATTAACAAGACTCTGTTAAAACTCTCACAGGCACAGATCTGCAGATGGTTTCAATCGAACTTAGGTCCATCATGTTTGAAAAATTACTGTTTCCATGCCCTGAACATTATACTCTACTCAGTATTTAGCTGAGATTGATCTAAAAAACTGCAGACTCTCAGAAATAGACAGGATTTCCGTGTGTTGATTGGGGCTCCGATGAAATAAGCAACCTGTTGAAAACCTCTTAAAATGCTTCTGTACTTCGGCGAACGATTCGTATAATGTATTTTCACAGCAACCGTACTTTCCGTATTTTAGTTAATGGGGAGTCTTCAAACACATCAGTGCCACTTCGGATTGTCTTAAAAGTACTATTTTGAGACCTCTAATGTATACTTCGTAAATTAAGTTGATATTATCTCTATCTATAGTTGTGGTAATGTATGCCGATGTAAAACCACATACAAAAGTTGACGAAGGCAACGGCTTGCTATTGGAAGACACTTTAGATAAATATTTATCGAGAAGCAATGGATTAGATTTGAAAGTATCAGTTGAAGAGTGTGCTGCGGTACACTTGGAGCACGTAAACTCCAATTACAGCCGACTGGCGGACTAACACTAAAAACGATTCAGGTTTTAGAGAGTTGTTACAGCAGTTTCTTTGAAATGCACTAAATTCTCATATCTCTTCGGGTTACACGTTGTTCCAACTGAATCTACTAGATTTTGAGCTCATAAACTCCGGAAGACCTGACCTTGTATACAGAGTTATTATATATATACAAGTATGGTGTCCAGGGTGAAGGAAGACAACCAAAGGCTTGAGGAAATTGCGAGTGCGAAAACGGGCTGCGTTTAAATGTCTGCCAAAAGCATTGTACACCTTGGAACAATGTGCGCATGACCATTTAACGTAAAGATTCTCGTGAACGTTGCGCCGGCAATCATAAAATATCACACCTATTCACGTTGACACGATCTCATAAAAGAGATCGTGTCAACGTGTTGGTACTCAGCGAACTTTGTAGCGCCAGTATGAATACAACAGTTTTCACGCACATAAGTTTGACTATTTTATTCGGAGTGTGAGTCACGATCAAAGTTATTGGGAATGTCGTTGCGAGAGCCATTATTAATTTGAGCGACGACAAATGCATGTGTGTTTGTCCGCCGACGGCGTCGATGTGAGGCACAACTGCCCGGTCTATTGCAATGGCGATGTTCACGTACAAGGTACACATCTCGTAACGCAACCATGTCGAAGAGCCCGATAAGATTTAAGGGGGTAAAATTCTTGTTAATCCGGCCCTCCGATCTGCAAGTAGCCCAAGTAACTGCTCGAGCCAAAAGTCAGTTTACTGGGGTAGTATCTCTATTGCAAGATTCACTTGACGAATAGTGCTTCTCTAGCGCTATGCTAAGTAGCCTTATTTATACTACGAGGCATTATAAATGTACAGGGATAAGTAGGGCCTTTAGCCCTACAAGGGGAGAGCCAGTAGCATTTTATTAGCATCTGAAACCTTTGAAACAGTTCATGCACATGTGTCATTTACAAAAATGCTGAGAATCCGCGTTGTTTGTGTTGGTATTGACAAAAATATACATTTCGCCTAATACGTGTTTTCATATTTTGTTGTATAGACCGTTGAAAACGTGCAGGTGTGCTGTTAGCAGCATTTTCCTAAATGTACAGCAACTTCTTAAACAAAAAAACGTAGATTTCGACAAGTATAAACGGCGTCCATGCGAGAAGTGAAGTGTCCACTAACAATTTGTCACAATATTTACCGAATTAATTTCGCCTATTACGATTTTTCATTACGACGCCTATTACAACGTTTAATTTAATTTTATTTTCTCTATTTGCACCTATTCTTTCAACGTGTCCTCCTTCAAAGTACCTGCTACGGCCTAACCTACTCTTAACGGCTCGATGAAGAGTACATTGGTATACAGCTCTATAGAAGTTTCCACACAGAAGTCCAATAGAGGCAGGTGGTACAACTTTATCACCAGGTGATCCAGGCCTTCCGGAGATAATGGCTTGCACGTGAAATATTTTACATGAACTGGTAGAACTGGTAAAATTGTAAACAGCAGTTCACCAACTGTAGCAGCTGGAGAGCTCCGTACCATAGTTTTTGCCTGTAAGACAGGTTCGTCAAAAGGCATTGTCCTGTTTGCTGGAATCCCCATCAATATGTTGATAGGAAGCAAAATTACATCGGGTGTTCGATCTAAAAGCTGTAATTGCGCAAGAGTATTATTACCCACTGTTGCTCGTGGCCTGCTGCGAAGATGAGGATGTTTACCGCTGGCAGTATTAGACGTGGAAAAGCACGTCGAAGCAATGTTAGCGCAGTTCCAGTTATTATCAGGTTACTGGGAGGCATTATCTAACTTTATTGAGCTTGCTAGATGTAAAGAGCTGAAACAAGGTTCACCAGTCAGTTTGCAGTGGAGAATCTCTGGACAACTATGTATCGGACAAAGTTCTGGGCCGTGAAAATTAGCCTATTTCCGGAGGTCGGCACCAGTGCACCAAAAAAAGTGACCATTCTTAAAGAACACCATAGTTCCCGAATGTCCTTCTACGTTTGCTGTCGTATATCGCTCTAGTCTTTAACAAATAAGAAAAAAAAAAGCATTGCTACTTAGAGATCGGCAACCTATTGAAAAATTGCCAACTCAACCTTGACACGAAACCGTCGAAGGCTAAGTCTGAAGAATTCTTTTGGCGCTGTGATCGTTCTGGAAGTTCTAGAATCTTGCTTCAACCTTTTCTAAACAAATGTTCTGCGTCAATATGTTTGTGAGTACTATATAAAATTACGTGGTTTTGTCCTGTTGAGAATTTGTTCTTTATTAGTATATGTATACATATAGCGCACTATATATTTGTAGAGCTCCTTGCAATCCCACAAAATTAGGACTGTAGTCTTTTATTACTCTTAGAACTTCTGCATAGGAATTCCCTTCGCCTTACTGACGCACCTTCCAACTTCCCGAATAAAATGCAATTAACTACAAACATAAACGGGACGTCAGAAAAATTCCAAAACGATTGGAATCCATTTATCCTGAAAACAAAAAATCATTACGAATGAGAAAATCAATATTTAAGTTAAGTCGGCGATACTTACAGTCAAGATGTCGCCGATGACGACTAGCTAATCGTTATGAAGCTTAACAAAAGACGCAGCTGGTTTGTTCACTTGAATTTTATGACATTTTTTATTGTTTGTTATTTTACTGAGCACAGATTTTGGTTGCCCACCGTGGATGCTATATGTTCTACATCTTCCTCGCATTTTCTCCCTTCGCGCATTTTTATTCTCATTCGTTTCCCCTATTTTTCATTGTAAATAAAAGAAAACGTTCATTTTTCTTACGTTGAAAAACTTATTTCTTTTCATTCTTACTCCATCTCAAGTTCTTTTTTAGTGTGACAAAATATCCATATATATATATATATATATATTCATCTGCGGTCTCTCGGTAATGTTTTTCGAGTCCACTGTGACTATTCCTTGTCATCTGCTGGTGTTACCGCAACAACGTATATAACTCTCATCTTTCTATTTTCTCGTATTCCCTAACCAATTTATATCCGTCCTGGTTCCAACAGTCACGACAAACGGTTGCCCTTCGCATGAAGTTCGCCTCACCGTTGTACAAAGGAATACTTTACACAGATTCCCTTGATGCGTTCGCTCAAAAACGCCCCATACCCCCTCCCGTAGCCACTACTCACAGCAATAGACTCATTCACTAACTCTGTGTGCGCACTCTTTCCCAGCTTGCAGATCTGTCACTGTTCTTCTGCCGCCGCGGCTCGATTGACAAAACCGGCCTTCACCAGGAAGGCAACATTTGCTTACAAATCGTTCAGCGTTTACTGCTGTATCGGGTTTTCTTTTTCACCCATTATTGCCGCGCTGTTCCACGGGATGGCTAGCTTTTTTCAATTGGGTTCAATTTTCACATCAGATAAAGGGTTAATAGTTTTCCTTCTCTTTCTCCCGGTTAAATGTTACATGCACATGTTTTATCATCACCACGATCTCTGTTCGGTCATCTTTTACTATATGCCGGCGTTAGTATTCACTATTTTTACTTATATCTGATTTCCTTTCGAACTTTATATATATATATATATATATATATATATATATATACATACATATATATGGTCATTTCCTCTCTCTTACGTACTTATACGACTTAGGCTTGTTAAATTTTCGACGCAACTTACGTTGTAAGGTTCAAGTGTCATTGCTAAAATTTGAGATGTTCCCGATAGAGGACGCTACCTACTTTATGTGCGCTTCCGCTCCATACAGCTATAGAATCTTATCTATGGGCAGTAGACCACAAGCCTGACACCCGTTAGTTCTTATTTATAACAACTATCTTCAATCCAGTTCTACTGTACAATAATCCATGTATAATTAATGATGATTCCCTCGGCTTCATATGAACTCGTCTCTCATTTGGAGGATTTAGCTTTGTAATATTCTGCCGTTGGCGCGTATATATGAAAAGATCATTGTTGTATTCGAATATAGAATAGAATGTTCGTTCGAGTTTTATATTTCGATGGTTTACGCGAACCATCGATTAAGAGCTTAAGCTGTCAGGAACGTTTGTGAACGTTTTTTACGATTCCATTCAGCATCAAAACGTGTACCTGTGCCACATCGACATTTGTCTTAACATAGCCCTATCGTCTGATGAACAAATGCAATCCGGTGTTAACATTTTAATGTATACTGTATTCATTTAAGATGAGTTTCGTTCATGTGTGCCTTTGCGAGCCCGTTTGGTTAACTTGAACGATGCATATACGTATTTTAGTCCAATGAACGCTCAACGCGTTCGATTGCCATACGGAGTCAATAGCTGCTGAGTAGCTCCCGCGGTCGCCGACAGTGGGAGCCAGTTGATCTGAGTAAGGCGATTAATTACCTTACTATTAATAACTACTGTGGTTATTCCAAACAAAAGCAGGCGTATTCTAATGAACTCCAGAGTTCGACGTCCCACCTTCCATTCTATCGCTACATTAGTACGCTTTCCAAAATCTATGACATTAACAGTAACACTAGTAACAACGGCGATGATGACACGTAGCAATAGAACAACAAATAACAACAATAGGTTATTTGCGGAGTGTAAAGTGTGACGAACGACAATTTCATCTTTTCATTAAAAAAGTTGGCATAGAACTTAATGTAGCAGTGATAATAGTGATAAGATTGTAAAGCTTGCGTGTTGACAGTGTGCATAGGTCAGTTTTAGTATTATTACGCCCTAGAGTAAGAATGTCTGAATGCGGAAAATGATCTAGGGGTATAAGGATACATGGCCGATATCACTGTGAAAATCTCATTCAACGTGTTTTTGGACTAGTGGTTTCCAGAATATATGGAAAATGTTTGCCGCAATTTCTATCGAAGACTATCCCCCACCACTTGACAAACTATTAGCGAGCGACCTTAGTGCGTCAAAAAGCCACGTCAGAAAACGTGCCCAGAATTGCGTCGGTCCGCCTCAATTCAATTCGTGTCCTACTCGTGCCACGTTCGATAAAGTAAATACGTATGGTAGATAGCAGGTAAACTCAAGGATTTCTCTTCTCGCCTCATCGGCCTAGGAAAAGCAGCAGGCCACAGCAATCGATGCGCTCGTTTTCTTAGCGTAGCAAGACAGACTACGCCGATACTACTAATGCGACCGTGGCAGAAACCCACCTATCCATATTCATAATCACCTCTTGGAGCTCGGTGAGTAGAACTTGGCTCATATATCAGTGATAGCCATCTTTTTAATTTAATTGTTCTTTTGGCAGACTTAAGACAACATCATCCAGTCTCCATTTAGCGGGCTGCAAAAGCTCCTGAGGAGGAATTAACTGCTTTTATTGGAGGGCGCATCAATGGCATGTTAATTATTTAGAAGCAATATTTAACAGATTTGTTGTCAACTTGAACAACTTTCGTCTCTCCATATTAGAACGCTTTGTCTGGCAGCTGTAATCTCAATTTTTTTCAACTGTACATGAATAACCCAGACAAATGGACCGATGGGATTTCCAGCTGGGTAATGATGGATACGACCTTTGTCTTCGAGGCTTTGTTTGCGTGTGATAGCGAGACCTGAGTAATATAACCCCCCTTCTGGCACTCTTTCATTAGCATGTTTAGATAGAAAAACATCCCACACGAATTGCACCAGAATGCACAATCTTTTACACGGGATTGCTTTCTATGTTATAATCGATATATAAGCATGCTATATACAGTTTTAACTCTACACAACGACATAACTAAAATGATTTAAATATAGGTTTATCACGTTTCCTTGTATTATTTTATAGATACTCGAAACAACAAGCGATTCTAACAGCTACAGCCAAGACTGTTCTTTGCTGAGTAATTATTAGTCGGGAGGGCTCCAATGCTTTGAGCATATTTCGAAGGATCATTTCGAGCGTCGACTTCCTCAGGTGGAACCATACGCTTCTGTTGAGGCCGTTTTTGCACTAAATCGCAACTTCATCTACAAAGCTTCGCAGTGTCTGTTACTAAGATACTGGCTAGTTTTTTTTTTTAAATGAAAACTCTCGGAAGGTTTTTATACGATCCATCCGAAGGGGTTTTCTTCCGGTACAAAAGGCGTCTCCCTGAACCGAAAAATAGAGTTTTAGCAGTGCATATTTGAAGCAAAGCAGATTTTTGCGAAGATACAGTAAGGTCTATCAAAGGACAGTTTGATTTCTGCATATAGTGCTTCAGCGCTTTTTAAAAAGCAGCGCCATTACTGCCCTTATAAAGCCTTTCAGTATGAATGCGTCATCTCGTCGAGAACTTTTTGATGTCGGTATACTACCTTTATTCGTTAGAAGCTTCTTTCTTCTAATCCTCTTTTGTGCACATTGTGTGTGCAGCATCCCTATTAAAAAATGTGACGCCTGACTGCCTGCGGGACACCGCAACACATGTGAGCAGCATAGGCAGTAACAATTTCTTCCGTACAACAGTTTCTTTACAGATTGACATGCATTTCGACTTCATGCCCTATTTTCCTCGTTCACCACTATCGTGTGTGCGTGCGCAGCTTTTGTGGCAGATTTATCCAACTATTTACCGTCAGCTGAGTTTTTGAGAATGAAGCGTTGACGTTTAAGCCTCCGTTCCACAAACCTGCTTAAAAAACTGATCGATTTCGTGGATGTTTTCAAGCTGTGTCTGAAGCTTTAGGACTTGCTGTTCTAACGTTTCTGGTTCACGAGCTACTGCCCGATGTGAATCCAATGCGTCTGACTTCGCGGGCTCCTCGTCGCCATAAAGCGACTTTAGCGGCGGCGGAGCTCCCGAAAAAAAGATGCCCAAATCGGACGAATGTTCAGCAAATGCAGGCTTCTAAAATATTGATACAGAAATCAAGCAAACCTTATCAATGACGCTTTACTTAGCAACAGTTTACTATATCCTTGAAGGATAACTTAACATTGATGTTCGATCAATTTTGCTGTTAACTAGCAATCACTTGTGTTACATACAACATTGAGGGGTGTAAAGAAGACTACCCCACTTTATACATACCAAGTCAACATAGACGAAGTTCTCTTTATTATTTTTGCTGTTTGGGCTACCTTGTCCCCACGGATCTTCTGCATCCTCGAACTGCTCCTCGTCTGATAAGGCTACAACTTTTTCTTCCTCTTCCTGTGGACCAAATAAATGAAAAAAACAGTGATTAGCGCTGCGAGTATGAAAGAAAAGAACGTGGTATTATGAAGGAATTGTCAAAGCAATCTGAATTTTAATCATAAAAACTTATATTTTATATCATACATATGACAGTCTTCGAGCCTGGTTAAGGCTGATTACATCAGTTTCAGGAAACTTTGCATAGGCAATGGTCAAAACCATGCATGGCATAGCGTATTGTTACATGTCTGTCAGTTCTCTCTAGATCTCATTCATCATGACGCCATTTGAAGGAATTTGAGATCGAACTCCGTGAATTGTTTTCTTAAATTACTAGGGCTGGCGATTGGTTGAAACGGCAATGGAGGTCCTCGATGGCGCCGCGTTCAAGAGATAGAACTGTTAGAGGCTTGTCACGGAATGTCCGGAGAACTCCAAGAAACAAGGTTTGTTCGGTTTAAATGCTTAGGATTTTCCACTGTGAAGTCATCTCAGCTTATGCTCATCTTGTCTCAGCTTATGCTCATCTTGTGTGCGGCAGCGGGGGCAACTTTGCGCTCAAAAAATTGCAAAGCAATTGACAAAGACAACTGATCCGAGCTAAGTAAGCATTGATGACGAAGGTATCAAAGCTTTTCCCACCTTTTCCTATAACATTCGGTGAGGAACTTTAGCCGTTACACGGGATCAGCAATCCTAAGTAAATTAATCGACTAAATGTATGTCAAAACCCGGCCAAAGATGAATAGCGTGTCACGAGCCGCAACTTTTGCCACCTCTTCTCATTTTTTTGCCTCTGATTTAGTTATGATGGTTAGTTTCAATTCCGAAACCTGTTTGGGGCCTGCTGCATATGAACCATTTATAATCATTATTCGCTCGTAGGAATAAATCCTTGCCGCGTAAATTGGGCTTAAAGAACCTCCTGGAACGGACTTATGTCATCCTAGCGCATTCGATTGAAGGTTAAGGTTATTTCCGTCATCTCATCAGCATCCTGCAATTTTCAGTTTGTCCAGTCTGCCCCAGGAGACATCGGCATAGCTACTGATCGAAGCGGTCAAAGTAATCTGCCAGGAGACATATATCATTCAACGCAAGAAATACCTAGGAAATACACAACAAAATACCTTAAGAGAAGTTCAACGTTAGCCGCCGCAGGCCTAAACCGCCTTGTTGGCCACTTCGCACAATTCCTAAGGGGGTCTTACCGCTCTGCGCATCCTGGAATTAAGCGACAACGGGCAAACGCAAAAGGTTGGGCCGAAAGTTATCCGTCCTGTGACTTAGATGTTCGACAGCCTATGCAAGGAAGGTACCGACATCAGGCAAGATTTGGAATGAGTATTTCAAGGCCATGGTGGAGCTGGCTTCGCTATAGACGCCTTTGTTTGACGACGTTTTTATTTTGGACTGTTTTCTTCTCATCGCCGGCATGCAACCTTGGGAAATGCATTCTACCAGCAGGTACGAGTAGTGACGATTCCTCGGCGCGCCCCTTGCGATTGTCTCTGAAATGTTCTCTGCACACTTTGAAATCTTTTTGCTTTGCACCTTTAAAAAAATATTTGTTTTGTGACGATTGGCTCCTACGGGCAATACTGTGTTTGTCAAGTGGTTTCATAATGTTAACATGTCTATCCTCCGATGTGTCGTTGACGGGCACATCGCATAGCCTTTGCGGTTTTCTGTTTCGATTCCTAAAGTGGTAGTATATAGCACAGTTTCGCTTTTCAGCTGTGTATTGTCCAAAGGTTTGGTGAATCGGTTGACCAGCTTACTACGGAGAAATTAGGTAGTCAACATGGCCATTTTCTTGCTGGCTTAGCCTGCAAGTATCTAATAAGTCTGATCAGGCGCTTGGCCTGCAGCATGCAACGCGCATTTATTTCAGTGTAGGCTGAAGCCATCACATCGCGCACATAATAAAACTAAGTCCTTCTGAATGTTGGTACTCTCTAATCCTCGTGTCCCTTTTTTCGACCCAAAAGTTGGAAGCCTAAAATCACTACCGCGGTATAATTCATTGCAGCTGTCCCAGTGGTTATTTTTTTTTATTGTTTCATTTCACAAATTACACCACTGAGCCTCGCAATGCTTACAAATACGAGCCAGAAACGGTTTCCAGACTACCCTTTGACTTAATTGACGGAAACGATTACGCAAACTTAACTCATGGATAACGTTCGAGAAAACCGTTCGTAGGTCCACTACCGATTCCACACGGACTTCCTTTACACGCACGATTCAGAAACTTAGAGCAGCAGAGACCGAGCATTTTCGGCACTTATCGACGCACGAGGCTGCAATCCGCACCAGGACGCTCTTAATTCCGACTAGCAAGACAACGCTCATCACGAATTCGTCTCGCGCACATTTCGTTTGTTTCGAACATTTGAATTGTGTACTTAGTTGGTAGATAATTATACTGGGTAATTATGATATTGGTATATTAAATTAGTGGCAGAGTACCAACAAAAATGTGTAGAGTAAAGCACGGATTATTTGGCCATGATAAGAGTTCGATAATATCTCGTTTATTATTGCTATTATTGTATTATTATTTTTATTATGATCATTATTAGACGAAGTCACACCCTTCAAAAATCTGACCACAGTACAACGTTTACCTAACGTAACATATTAATTGGAAGAGCAAAGAGTTTCCCAGCGTGTCCATACCTCGATTGGCCCAGTTTCATCAGGCTCAAGGAGAAGCGTGCTAAACATGTCACACAAGTCCTCAGGCAAATCGTGATCCTTAACTTCACGAGGTTCCGAAGCGAATGCGCCATATGGCGAGCACTCATTGAGTTCCTTTTGACGTCCGGCGGAAGCTGGACTGCAGGGAACACCCCCTAGTGAGGTTGGTCGTTCGGAAGGGTTCTTAAGCGACCGCCGGGCCCCTGGTGCGCTCTTACCTGCGGCTTTTCCCTCAAATTGCCCCTGCTCCATCCCGAGCTGGTCGAAATAGTTCGATTTGAGCATAGGCATTTCATTTGACTGTTTCTCCTTATTCGTTACTATCAACTTCGTGCGGTATCTGAAAAACCGAAGTAAATAGCCATTACTATTGCCTCCTGATCAATGGAAAGTCGTCATCGTTCAGGAGTCAAATACGTTTGTTTCCATCTACGTCCTTTAAATTCCTTTCAACTCCATGGCATCAATGAAAGTTCGATAACAAACTGGTGAACACAGAATTATAATAACTATATAGCTTGTTTACTAGTTGCTTCGATCGTGCCTCTAATGTTTGAAAATATAATTTTTTCTAGTGGTAGTGATAATTGTACTGACCGAACAGAGAGACTTAATGTCCCGAGACTCGTTCCGACCTGTCCGATGGTCACAAGACCAGAGTTTTCCCCGCATGTCTCCTCCTGAAAGGATTTATTCATACACACATAAAACACAAATAAAAATATAGATATATATATATATATATATATATATAAAGTCGTTAAGCTTCGCATATAAGGATACAGTTAAACCTCAATAAAGAGAACGTTTGTGTGTTAATTTATTTTAGAGCCGTAAAAGCAACGCACAACATTGATTGCTTTGACATGATGTGGCCACTTTCATTGTCGAATAAGCGCAAATCCGTTGTCGAATTTTCTATATACAAGCACGTGCAGGCAGGACGCGTGCCCTGGCGTACGTTGAGAGGTATGATAAATGGAGACTCCGTCATTAAGAGCTGTACGCCAATTTCTGTTATATAATTGCATAGAACGTGTGTCATAGGCAATGGTTCAAAGAAGCAAAATTTTCACTTAAAGAAAAAGTGGGTTGATTTCGTCTGCAGATCGATTTGGTAAATGCATCAAATGGGCGCCCTAAAAGATATGAGCATTAAGGCTATTTTCTCACTTCACTTATGTGACATTTCTACGACAGTGTATCGGGAATGTCATCTGTGATCTACGACTACGTACCTGCATTGGTCCCATGTACAGCTGATAGTGAAGGATAAATGTGTCCACGTTCTGATTCTGCGCAAGACGGAAAGCCGGTACCACACGGGTAATTGCTAACAAGCTCTTGAGAAGGATAATCATCCGATTGTAGCTATCGTAAACAGATTTCGGCGACTCCGTTTCCGGTAATAGGGCTTTATTAAGTGGGAGGAAAATAAAGATGATATTGCAAATCAGACAAAATGTCGACTAAGCATTCTGCACACTCGAAAGTAATCCTCGTAACATATTATCTAGCTTAAATTAGAAATTCATTTAGCATCATTGTCGATTGAAACTAATTGTCATTGTGTTCTTTTAGGAACTCTATATAGTTCTGGACCTTACCAAGCTCCCAGATCTCGAGTACCATGCTCTCGCCTTCTGGCGTACGTAAGCTAAGCTCTACGCAAAGAGGCGACCCACTCAGGGATTTATGGGGTGCATCTCCCAGTACACGACGAGCCTCTTCCGTAATATCGAGTAGGTCAGGCACATTTAGCAGGAACTGAAAGGATAATTTGCAGTTTTCGCATAAACAAAAGGGTATATGTAAGAAATTATTACTACGTTACAGTGTTCTTATGATAAGCTGTGATGTGAAACACTGTGATGTTACTAAATATTTCGCTTTAGAAAACAAGACTTTGTCAATGAGGGTTCAATCGTTAAAGCAAAGAGCATCTTTATATATATGGGTGGTTATACGTTGGACCCTTGTTATCATGTCCAGTGTGGACGTACTTTAGAGTATCCTGTTATTTTCTTGCTAGCGAAAAATAGAGACGTTGGTCAACAGAAGGTCACGTAACTCTTACAAAAAAAAAAAAAAAGGCGAACCTAAGACAATTTAAAGCAGTGCGTATACACTCCATTGACTCAGATCCTTAGACATTAGGCGCTTTCTGAACGCAGGACCACACAAGACACTGCTGACCGACTATGTGATTGGAGACACTTTACTCAGTCATACACATACGAGAATACGCCAGAAGGCACCAGTCGTTCTGCCCAGACGTTTGACTGCCACCTGTATGCCCGTTCACGCTCATATTTTGCTAATCCTTGGTAATGTTATATCCCAACTAGTGTATCGCACACGCATATCGATATAACAATCAATAGACGTCATAATGTGTGAATTAGAACCCAGCAACGATCGCTCGTAATTTCTATCCATAGTAGTCAGTCAGCATCCCCTGGCTGCAATGCCTATGAGAAAAATAGCAGCTACAAACGCTAGCTTACGTTAGCAGGCAGCATTACGGGCGACAGGCAAACGACAAATCCTCGAGCGACACACAGACACCTAGCGGAGAACTGCAGCATGTGACTGTATATATATAATTATTAAGTGATGGGGCTTACAGAAATGGACGAGACGGCTGCTTCGTATGTACTGTAATAATGTAAACTGCGTTATGCGAATTTAAAAATTTAGCGAGCTCTGTTTTCAAAATGTTAGCTAACATTCGTGCTACTAAATATTTGATGACTATATAATAGAATTAACAAACAATAAAAATATACATCGAAAAACTGTGATTTAATAATCAATGAAAATTAATACGGTGACAGGGTGGCATATTGTCAATACAGGAAGCGCAGTAATAACCGCACGCCAATGAGAATACTAAAAAAAAAAGTAGTAAAATTTCTGTGAGAATGAGCAGTATTTGCTATAACAAGTTACACAAGAAAAGGAGACCATATCCATCTATCCGAGGAACGTCTGAGCAGATCAGTTGTCGTTGCCGCAGTGCACATACGTTGGTGTATTTCCATATAATGACCGAAGTACCCCTTACCCAATCGCCGTTGTCTGCTGGTAGTCTACAAGACGTCTTCTGTGGTTCACCTTGCCGGCTTTGTACAACGACTTGCACGTATTTGTACGCAAAGTTTTTCACGAACCGTTCCAGGTTTTTCCGATCCTTGTCTGATAACTTCATTCTGATATCTGCTGCTCGATTGACGTTAAGATTACCCAACCGTTTTGTCGATAGTCCACAAATTGCACAACTAAAAATTCACACCTAAGGTTCAACGGCACCGGGACGACGAGAAGCGTTACACGTACTGCTAACAGTTCGCCAAGCGGACCAGAAGAATCGTTTCCTGTAATCAGAAGTGAGGTCAAATTTGCATTAGTTTATTACGCCACCTTGTAGCATCTAAATACGTCTGTTACTCCTGTTTTATTAGCGTACTGTTCGTACTGGAGGTATATACTGACAAACTGTGCGTCATTGGTGTATACTAGATCCATGCGTGGGAATAGAAATTGAGTGCTGACTCGATATGAGGAAAACACGAAGATCTCTATGTATAGATTTAAACTAATATATATATATATATATATATATATATATATATATATATAATTATAGAAAATACACTAATACAACAGCAAATTGCGAGTCTGTTAAAGCTTTCAGTGAGAATCGAATGAGACCCGTTCCCTGATGAAGCTACGATATATATTGACGTCTCTCTGAAAAAGGCACACACATTCAACAAACACGAACGACCCGTTAACAGAGAACGCAAAACACTAAAACAGAATTGTACAATATAATAGTAGCAAATAGTATGTTTTCAATGAAAATCAATGGAAGGCATTAACTATGCTATTTGCAAATGAACCCCCCCCCCCCCCCCCCCGTTCCGGACCGTAAACTCTGAAGGACAGCATTAGGACAGCTGTTCGTCATTATTTTGACTGGTTGCGTATAGATGCGGCTAAAAAGGACCCTAAAGGGCATCAACTAGAACGAGAAGGCTAAGCGAAACAAAGTTGACCGAGGCCATGCTTACTACGAAACGACAGAAATAGGCAAGCTAAGCGAAATGATGCACACGTATATTTATAGACACATTCATTAGTACGGTAAGTTTCGTAGTGTTTCTAATGTACAGCCAACGACCGGAAGCGATCGTAATGGCATCGCTGGATGTATCTGAGATCTTAGCAAAAATGCTCCCTGTAGCCCTGCGATTAATGACGATGACTGACTGGCGAGGAAAATATATTTGGAGATCATCGAAGAAGACGTCCGTCACTTCTGCAAGCCAACGTAATCGATTTATGTTTAAATGAGCTCATAGAGCTTTTACAACACAAACATTACATGAAAGAAAAATGTCATCACATATTGAACCAGCTTAGTCTCTAATAGCCTTTAGGGTGTGTGGTGCAAAGACATCCTCATGAATTTTCGACGAATTTTCTGCAACGGTATTCCATGCTCCAGGTTAATATAATCCTTTATCCACCAACTGATTAAAGTTCGTACTAATTCCATTAATTCTAAAAACTTCAGATCAAGCAAACATATTCTTTTCGTAAGTATTTTTTGACTCACCTAGAAATAAGAAGTTAATAACACACGATCGCTTTTTGATAACTAGAGCAAAGTTGTCTGCGGACGCATCTTCTTCAAATCATTAGTATATGAGTAAAGTTAGTCTTGCGAGGTCCCGCCTTCAACTGAGTCTTGAGGACGTTTCGACAATGAATTGGTGAGTCGAATCGGCTGGTTCAGTTCGATCTAACAACGACCTAAAAGTTGAGTCTTAGGCACACCTTTATCAGTATTTGGTGTGAGAATGGGCAGGCAATAGGCTCACGTCGTGTAGGCCAAATTAGAAGCTTGCCTTTTTTCCAAACAGATGTCACACAGCTCTAACGTTCAAAGTCGAAGCCGTCACTACAGGAGCTCTGAATCTTTTCTTATTTGTTAGTAGGCAATACATGTAACTGTATTCTATCTGTGATGATGATGTCAGAAGACAAAAGAACGCAATCTTGTTTCTACCTGGAATGTTTCTAAGCGCTGCATTGGGTTGAACAGACAGCGAGTGTTCGGCAGCATTTATACGTTTTTAAATGAAGGCTTTGTGAAAGTCGACTGAACTTATTATAGGCTTCAATGGCCGCCGTCATATCGAGTAACTCGCGGTCATGTAGCGTCGCTCATAGCAAAAACGTTATGCTATAGGTAGGATATTTGATATAATGCTGTTTACTCCAACTACAATACTATAATGGTTAAGTATAACACCATTAATGTAAGACCCAGCCGTTCGGTTTGTTCGGTCGGACTCGAACTTCGTTCCGGATTTACTGCTGACAGAATGATGAGTTGTAAATTACCCACAAAGTTGACCATCGGTGGAAATTTGCATTGCCTCATCATAGAAAAAAAAAACCCATCGAATATCGGTATGCAGGAAACCTATCGGACAGTAGATGTTTGCCCTCGGTTGGGCTCAATCAGTTGTGAAGCTGGGCAATCAACTTGGAAATCTCCCCTTCGAAGTAACTCACTCGCCGTATCGAGATACATTGAGCACTCGTTCAACCGCATTCGAGATTCAATTTAACGGGCTTTCAGTAGGATTAGATGAATTCCGAATTACTAATATTAATAATTAATAGAAATTAAATATCACTTGATTCCATAAACTTCCATCTAACAATAACCATTCAAAATGAAGCCGCGCGACCTCTTCCAGTCGATGTTCTCTACCTTTTCCGCCCGCGGCCTTTCGTCTATGGAGGCGAATGAGATGTGTTTTTTTCGATATCTAAAGAATGGCTACTCTACGCCAAAAGGAACCCAGTTCGGTATAATTCTGCTACATCGACAGAACTGTCAAGGTGCAGACGAAACCTAAATCAAGTTTTCGTATAAAGATGCGACGATCACATTTGCATTTATTCGGCGTCACTATACACGCGAGGCGTTTCTAAGAAATGGACGCTGCCGTACTTTTGTTGGCATTATTTAGAGGGACGCTAATTGACACCACCCGTAATAACACCACAACAGTAATTCGTCTGACAAAAGGCGGCGCCGTTAGCATCGATGAGCCCTAGTTATGACAAATCGCTTGTTGCTCAGTTTATTCTATAGTTATTACCCCGTAAATGGCAGTTTTGATAGGGACAATAGTCTCTCTTGAAACTTTCAACCTTAGACGAGCTCAGTAGTTCGAGGGAAAGCGATAATACCCATAAGGATAATCTTCAGCAAATATTGCAGCACTATGTAACAACTATATTAAATAACGGATCTTCCTTCAACAGACCGTAGCAGGTTAACCGATCGATCATTCGTTCGCTATACGTATGTCTGACTGCTCTCATAGCACCGTGAGACGTGAAGCTGTTGTCCCGGATTATTTGGGCCACTGGCTTAAAGCATAGGAAAACATGTGTTTTGTAAAACAAACTTGTACGATACATGGCGGACTGTGAGAAGACCCCAGTAGCAGTCAGTTTATGACGAGTTTTATTGTTGCTGGTCGTAGCTGGATGTGTTTAAGTCATTCCTATAAGCGCATGGCTTGCTACGTCTTAGAGATAAACACCGATATTATCAAGTATCGCAACCTGTAGTTGTTGTATGATTAATCGTTTTTTTTTGGTCAAACAAAACACGGAAAATATCTAGAGGACTGTATTCATTCTATAAGGATGGTGCGGTTTTTTTCTCTCATTATATCAATACTTATCAACTACTTCCATAAAAATAAACACTTGATTCTTAATATCTATATAATTTGCCAGTTCCTTCCAAGCAAGCAATAATAGAACAATTAATTAACTTTAAATTCGTTATGAGGTTCTGAATAGGCTTCAACATAGTTTCTAGGTAACTGATTCAGGCAACTTGTCGATTTAGAGGTCGGTAGTAATTCATCCTGTTCTCGCATAACGATACTCAGCTTTTCGTTTCCTGAAGGGTTACCGTGCAAAAGAATATTCAAAACAATATCTACCCACGATTTAGATATGACAGCAGCAAACAACGACGACGACGACGGCGGCGACAACAACAACCACTGATATCAGTCCCGTTCCTCCTATCTCTATCCGCTCTACATACAACCGTAATACACCGATTTCACTCAGTTTTCGATTAGAATCCATTATTACATCATGCCACTGGTCAATTTCGAATATTTTTCAACATTGCTAATACTAAGCATGCAATTGTTAACCAATTATCTAACGTTTCAAATCTGAGCCTGTTATCAACGCAGGCCTCTGCGCTGGACGTCGAAAAATCGAACGGCTAAGGAAACCACGACATAGGAACAGCGATTGGAGGAGCGGGAGCCCGGTCAGCCGGAGCGGTGCTGATTTGTATCTGTTGTTGCATTCGAGGAAGCACCGGAGGATTGACTGCTAATCAGCGACTTGATAGTAGTCCAGGACGAGGCCGCTGGCGATCCCTTGCCATGCCAACATCAGTGAGCGATGTTTGCTTCTACTGGTCTACCGGTAAAGGACACCATCGCGGACAAGATAATCCCGGCAACAACTATCAATTGTTTCAAGTCCCGCTGGCGTCGAAGACGTATTCTGTTACCCTCATGCCTAAGTCAGTGACGATGCTGCTGCTGCTGCTGCGACTTCCTATGTAAACGTTAGCTGACCATCTGCCAATACAATATTATCACAAGCTCCAAATGCTACTTAAAGCGAGCGTTAGGTCCAGTGAAAGTACAGTGCTATCGAGTGCGTACAAGATAATCTTTAATGACTAGGATGATCCAGCATTAAGCATTCTCTCTGCTAACAATTTATCCTGTAGAGACGAAAGAATGTAACGCACAAAGAGTACTAGAGAACTAACTCCGTCCTTTAGCCACTTCTGGCTACCAGCGCCAATCTTCGACAGATAATAGATAAGTGACGCTGGTATCCTGTCTGATAACGGAGTTTCCTCGACCTCTTTTTTACTTGTTTGCTCTGCGGTATAATTATGGAAAAATATGTATATCAGACAGTTGAAGCCGGGCTAAGCTTGCCGTAGCGTCTTTTGCGCTGTCGTTGTAGCAGTATGGTACCGGTGATTATGACTGCCGCGATAAGCTTGTTGGAATTTTTCTTTGATGTCTGCTCTCAGCGGGACGCCTACGCCACTGGACGAGCGTCATCGCAAACGAAAAATCCACCATACGTAATCAATTCACCTGATGCCTTTAGTTCTCATGTCACCAATGTCATGGAATCAACGTCGTTACCCAACTGACTGGACAATACAGATACTTACGACCGCTTTTTTGCAGCATCGCCAACAGCAGCAGCAGCAGCAACAACGTACAACGGGTTAGCAGAAATGGTGCTACACACATAGTGCTACACGCCTTTTTCAGTAACGAATAAAATAATAATGATGAACTGTGAATGCACTTGCTCTTCGTCTCTCATCTGAACATGACCCCAATAAACGAGGACTTCGGGCCTTGTATTCAACTTCGTACCATTACGCACTATATATTAATCTAATCATGGACCTTTGTCAATTTTATGGGCAAAGAATTGCAGCAAACGGTACCGTTAAAAAGTGAGCCTCGTTTATCCCTGCTAGTATGGTGTTGTTCAGGACTGCTTGAGCGGTTTCCAACCGGTCAGCCTGGCAAGTCGGCTCTTATATTTGCGTCACGTTAGTGGTACGGTAGACAAGAGTCGGCAGTGTCGGCGTTTCATGCCGCCGGACCGCGCGACGTACGACTGAACGGTCAGGTGATGGATAAGTAAAGCGTTTTGCTTAGGAATAGGGAAGCGAGATAGAAAATCGGGATCGTTGACTGGCTGGCTGGCTGGCTGGCTTTTGTAGATGCCACGTCGGACACACTATTGCTATAACAGCCCGGCACTACAGACCACCGCAGACGAAGCCGCAGCTCGTGGAAGTTAGATGACACAATAGGGCTCATTAATGACATCGAAGGGTGGTGAGACAGCCGGGCAAAAACAAGGCTGCGAAAGTCGACTCTGCGTGTCAGCACTGATAACCTGTAGAGAAGTCCGAAAAGGCAGACGTTTACCAATGTTTGAATGAAAATGTAAAGGAGGTAAGAAGAGATGCGAGAAAGTAGTTGAAGATGATCACATACAGCAAACGAGTAGGAGGCGCCCAGATCAGCAGAAGCTCTATTTGACTCCTCGTCCTAGTCCGAAGGTAAGAAGATCGAATAAGTAGAAGTAAGTATAATAGTCATAATATTCAATCATAGTAGTTTCAAGGCTACGACAATTCTGTTATCAAGCACGTCGATTAGTAACACAAGACAATCTTATTGACGTAGGTAAAAGTTGCATTGTTACTTGTTCAGCAATTGGAAACACGTTACCAACCATTTTGTTAAGACGACATGATCTAATATTAAAGCTTGGGTCTGTTAAAGGATATATAACATCTATCTAACACCGGAGGAATATCTATTGGTTTTAGTAAAATTTGGCTAGGAAATAACAAGTGTATTGTTTGGAATAGCAGAAATTAGACGGTGAGTCGGCTATGTATAACATGCACATTCTACCTTAAAATACACAAAATGATGTGAGTTGCTTAATAAATGTTATATATATATATATATATACACACATATATAGCTTATATATAGGCTTAAATAGAGCTTATCGAATTTTCCCCTACGGTAATTAACAAATGGTAAGTGAAACTATCGAGCCTCGTCCTTGTACAACATATATTGGCAGTTTAGACCCTATCATGCCGATTCTAATATTTCAAGTGTTAGTTGTCTAATTACGGTGCAGATCGAGCGGGAACCTTGTGTCCTATTGCCCCAGTAAGCGGCAAAACGTGTGCCGCCAGATAATTTGCTTTGATTAGGCGCTATACCTTCGTTCCCTTAGTATACGGAATGAAATGATCTATAAAATAATGATGATATTATTATTATTTTGGTTGGCAGCAATTTTCGGTTCACACTCTCGATTTTGTATGAGCCTACTTGAACGGTTGTCGTTAATTGCTCGGGATCGTTGGCCTCAGCATAGGTTTTGCTATCCCAAGCGATACAGTTGGTTGGTGTGCATCATGGGGCAAGAAAATAGACAGAGAGAATATAGGCATCTATGAAAGTGTATATTTGTGATGCCCTTGCGTGACTCTGTCAACAGTCGGCACTCGTTGTATATAAAAGAAGAGTAACAATAGCTGCTGTTCTTTTATATAAAGGCGATATGTACAGTACATAGCACGCACTTGGAAATCAATTTAATTGTCATAGAAGAAGAGGTTGATTTAAGTTGTTTATATTGAAGAGGAGGATGCGCTGTAGGACAGAGCCGATTAGATGCATATTTTTCGTCGGAGCAATTTGTTTTTTAATTGATCGCTTTTGAATTATTTACCTCTTTTTATTAGCATCCCTGCGTAATACATTCGTACATGTCGAAATAACGTTGCAGGAGCGGAAACGGCTATCTTTTGGTGGCGTTCTGTTTTCATTAGTAACCGAATGTTTATATGTATATCCTTGTAAAGGGATCGCTCTTGATCCCAAACGAAAACGCTTACCAAGCTAAATTTTTTCAGGTTACCAAGATTCTCGGAGAGGGAACAACTTAGCATGGTGTTCTATTTTGTCTTCAATCGACTTCGACGGGCCGAATAAAAAATATACCATACATCTATTTAAAATGCAGTTTTTGCTGATTATTGCAGAAACCCTATTAGGCGTACCCGTTTGCCTAATTAATAGCGGGGCGATACTTGAGCGTTACTTGAGAGAACTTTTGGTGCGTGTCAATTTGGAAGTCAAAGCGGCTAATAATACAAAGCTAGTTTTGTTTAACTCATTTTGAGAGAAAACGGCAAAAATGGCAAAAAAATAAAGCCAAGAAAATTTAAGAAATTCTTGAATCTTGCGAATGACTTAGAAACAAGGTCAATGTGCCAAGTGAGACAGACGAAATATTTGGCTTTTCACTCCGTGTGAGTGGTTATTAGTAAAATTAAAAAATACAAAACCTTACGCTATGGCAATGTTCCAGTACTATCATGATGAGATGTTTATCATAATTTTCATTTAGTTCAATGACTATTTTTTATAAACGAAATAAAAAAAACCTTTAAGCTTTGGTGATATCCCATGAGCAAAATCTGTAAGTTTGCTGGCTCTGTCTACTAAGGCCGCTTCTATTCACGCATAGGCCCTAGAGGTCACACAATGGCCATCTTATTTATCTGCATCCCGCCAACAAAGTCAATTAGCCAGTACTAAAAAACCCGCAATCATGTTGTAGAAATGTACCAAGAGCCGACATGTTGTACGTGACACAAATTTCGACTTGACCGGGGCTTCTGGTGAACATATTAGAACGGGCTGATGATATATTTGCACGTAAGTTAAAAGCAAGGCGAGACAAAATATACAGAGAAACACGTGTTAGCGTATCTTATAGTCTACGTTAAACTGCGTGTAATATCAATGAATCAAATTAGGCAAATCAGCGACAAAATAGGTGCGGCGTAAAGCTCGCGGGTATGTCACGTTTTACCTAGTTTATCAGTTTTTATAACATTAAACCGTCCATACGCACACACACACACACACACACCCAAATGTACACATGAACTAAAAGAAAATCAGTGTGACAACTCTTCCCATATTCAAAATAAGACGGCGAAACGTTACATGTTATGAAAATATTCGGCCATATTTTTTTTTCTAAACGAACAGTGCAGCCTCTGCTCCAGTTTCTACTGTTGCCGATTGTGCCAAGGGTGATCTTTTGTTTGATAATAGAACTATAAAAATTAATAGCAACGAGCAAGCGTAGTCAATCGACAAAGTAACCGGAATCAGTTTAAAATGCCTACGCTGACGATTTCTCCCACAGCATTTGACGATGCGAGAAACGAGCTTACACACATACATAAACATCCACAGAAAGCGCGCGTTCCTTAGTCATTCATACATAAACATAATTACTACATAGGCGAATAGGTAGAAATTAGGTGGTAACCTTCTCACGATTGTCCAACTAACCAGCGGCAAAAAAACCACAATACAATAACCACAACGTCGGAAATGGCAAGGTTCGCCAAACGACGACGGAGCTCAACGATGCAAACAGAGAGATGCTCGTAGGAACGTGAATCGTACGCTGAGAAAAACTTTTACCTATAAAAATAGTGAACGACTGCTGTTCATCACCACGTTGATGTTGCAACAAACACAAAAAAGTTCGGTAAGTTGCTGGAAATAAAATTGTTTTTTTAACGCAAAAATAGCGAATAGAAATAAACTGTTATCGACGTAGATTGATATAAAAAAACACCAGATAACAAACTTGATATAAAATGTCGGAAAAAGCATAGAAAATAGAAGCAAAAAGCTGACGGTACAACGAAAAAAAAAACTACGAAAAAAAAAAAAGAGAACTAATAAACACACTAGACTTTACCTTGGCTTAATTACAATGAGTAAACTATGTTCTAACGATACTATTTACGCATTACAGTTCGAGTTAATCGTAAGTGTGAATAAAGCGTTTTATTAATTACTAAAATTATTTTTTATAAATGCAGATAATAAAAAATAAAATAATAATGAAATTATTTTAAAAAAATATATTAAAATTTAAAAAAATAGTTATCACAGATATCGCTAGCTTACAGCAGCCCGTATTTACATGTTGTTTTTGTACATTCTGGTTAATGATCAGCGAAGTGACCCAGGTCATTCTAAAAAGAGCTGCAAAAAAAAACAACCAATTTATATGGCGGCAGCAGAAGTGGGTCTTCTTAATGTTGTCGTCGCAAGCCAAAAAACAGCGTTACTTTGATTATAACATCGAATCGTACTATGATGTTGAAAAGGATACTACACGAAGGCTCGAGTCAAACTCAATAATAGCGGCGGCCCATAATTATGTTACATGAAACTTTTCCACACAAAAATGTGGAATTACGCACATTATATGTATCAACGAGCGGACGAAAATTAATTAAAAAAAAAAAAAAATCGTTTTTCCGCGGAGACGCTAATAGACAGGATAGTATCTTAAGTAAGGGATGGGCGTTTCAATATAATCGAAACGACATAGAAAATGTTGTCAAAAGCGTAAGTTGAACACACTGCTAATACACTGTTAGTAATAAATCGTAGCCAATATGGTCTATTATTGTAGCCATCATTCAATACGACTAAGTTTAGTTACGGTGACGATGATTGCAAGAGAGATGTGTAACGAGACTGGGAACGATAAACGAAGTACTGCAAGTTATTCTTCTTCACAACTAAATTAAAGCAGATTGCCGTATTAAATTGCTACCAAGGCCAATTCACAGGCTCAGTGTGTTCGTTTAACCATGTCCGTACCGCTAACTAACTCTCGATTTTCCTCGGCGGCCAACGATCGATAACCAAAAATCAAAATTTGAACGGCGTCTCTATTTCAGTGTTCGCAAACTATCGCATACGTCCGATCCGACAATCCGAATAGATCAACGGGATTTATTTTTTCCTATATACCTGTGCAAGTTGGTACGGTACAAAGCTAGCAACTATTGCTGCTCGAGCGCTGTTTGGCAGACCATTCCACAAGAACGCCAAAGCCGCGCCCTACGTTGGCTGTTGCAGCTGGCGGCTATCGGATCGCGTTGGCCGCCAACAGCAGAAGCATATTGGCAGTGTCTCCCTATGTCCGTCTGCCTTTGACAACGTTTATCGCACTGTCCATAGCATCGGCGTCGCAAAAGCTGAAGAGAACAGCGCTTTCTTCTACTGACAGCAACAGCGACATTTACAACGCAGTGTTTCGTACCGCATCCCACCCCCAGCCCTCATCCGTGAGTTCCATCAGTCTTTTCTCTCTCCCGAACATTCCGAACATTCCTAATGGAGGAGTGGTGGCGCTGCAGTAGTAGTAGTAGTAACGGTTGTCATATGTATAGTAACACCAGTACGTCTCAAAATGTCTGAGAACACACGAAGATAGCAAGCAGGCCATAACAATTCGTTCGTCGTCGTCGTTGCTACACATGACTGTCGTCCGGCATCTTGATCACTTTACGTACGTTTCTCCGAAGCAACTGTACGCCGAGCGTCGACATCGCTGTCGAGCATCATATAATTGTATGGGAACGGCGACGGGTTAAGATCTCGGTCTTCCGGGGTCAACGTCTGCGTCTCCGGGCAAATATTTGCAGAAGTATGTAATATGACATACGGTACGTATCAAACGAACTAATTTGAAAAGACGTCTTCAGAGCTTTTATTTAACATAGAATGAAGCGTTTATATATAAACGTGTGGTCAGATCCTGTTTTGGTCATCATATAGCTAAGACCTGTTCGTGGTAGGAGTAGAACACGATATTATACGGGAATGTATAATATACTGCTATATATGCTGCGCACTCACATAATAATCATCATTATAATTACCACTGTTATTATAGTACAGAAATGGGGGAAATGCGAGACGAAAGCAACCAACCGCGCTAAGCCAACGCTGCTATTATTGCTACCATAACACTAGTGGCGGCGGCGGCCGCGCCGACAACTTGCGGAGCGGGTTATGGCCTACCCTGACGACGTGGGTTGCGTATGTACAACGATACGAGAGATTCATTCAAACGTCACTTGGCTACAGCCATTCATTCATATTTTTGGAGCTTAAGCAGGGACTAATCGACTTTTGAAACCGACTCAAGCGCTCAGTACCGAACTTCGCGTAAATAACAAGTATACCTTTGATCATGTACTTTCCAATATTATAGACATAAAAATTAGATGTGAACCAGGACTTTTGAACGGGTTACTACGGGTAACATATGACCGAATTTCAGGAAATCTAAGGGACCATATGAGTTTCCTTGAATGAGTCCAACTTCTCTGCTTTGCGTTTCTGTCATCGTGCACCACTAAGGAACTACTTCTAAAAACTACTAAAATACTGAAACGATAAAATTCAATTCAACGTTACCTCCTTATCAGTCACGAGCCAAATTCAGTAAAATAAGCACCAGAGTAGTTTTTTTTTACCCTTTTTTGTCCGCCAACGGATCGTGGAAGGCTAGCGTTTCTGTCATCTCTTTCGAAGCTCGCGCCCTTGCTCAAGTACTATATCGTCGTAGGGATGGGAAAGTTCTCGAAGTAACAAGCCCTCTCGGGACTGCATAATACTAATTATTTGTGTGTACCGTTGCTGATCGTTTTGTTTGTCGAGCATTTCACACGGTAAGTCATACGATGCACTGCTGCGCAATAACAGCTCCCTTTTCCTACAATGCCATATAGTGCAGAGCAACAAACACTCGATCATGACTCTTAGGTCGGTGAAAGCGGGCCAGACGGACGGTACCCGAGTCGTTGTACCTGAAATAGTTTTCCCCGTTACCCCGCACCCGGTTCAACATTATTATTGTATACGCCTGCTTCGCAAATTCGCTTCAAACGTCCAAAGTTCTGGATGTTCACTGCCCAGTAACACAAAGACGTAGCATTTGGTCTTCACAGGTACATACACGCATACGTACGGTCACACCTTTACACTGCGCGCTTTTAGATGCGTTAACTATGAAGAGTTAGTTGATCCGGCAACAAAAGGCGAAGACCGATCGAGACGAAATGCGAGCTCACAAATTCTTTTTTAAGCATTGAAGGATGAGAAAACGTGGGACACTCATAGACGACTCTTTGCTATGCGACCTTATCATAACACAGTCAACAGCTGCAGTGCATTTGTGGTAGCACAAAGAATCATCGATGGCAAGGAACAATTGTACAGTCAGGCAATATCTTCTTGCCCTATTCATTTACAGTGCTTTAAAACTGAAGGTGCCGTCCCCTATTCACTCTTTCGGTAGATTTCTCTCTAGTCTCGTTCGGTTCGCAATGTTACTGCGACGATATAACGTCATCGATTGCAGCAACGTCACGAACAAAGTAAAAACAATAACAAATCAAAATTTTGTTCAGAAATATACATGTGGAAGATATTTACGTCTAGTTTATCGCTGTTATAAATCGTCCAAACGGACATTAGCGCAGCGCAAGCGATTATTTGAAACGGAAACCTAGAGAAAAAAAAATACATAGAGGAATAGTTGAACATTCAAATAACCGACCACAATTATTCACAGTGTTTACTGTGGATTACAGATATAATTATAGACAGTAATAGACGCGCCGTCTACATAACGCATCGAAACGCTATCGGCAGATGGTGGACTAGGGTAGTGAAGACGACAACAAATTCGCTCATCTTATGACCCGGCCATTTCTGCTATCTTTGCAATCAGACACGATCGTGTCATCCGTAATTAGCGACTGACGGAACGAAAGCAAAATCAGATAAACTTTAGCAACAAGTAGCGTACAACAATAGACAACTCAAAAATAGACTGGCTATCTATCCACAGATGGAGTAACCTCGTTCTAACACCATACGGGTAAAATACGACCATCTAGCGATTGGTAACGTTTAGCGGACGAGCACTGCCGCTGAATTGATTTGTTCGCTTTGAATTGCGTTAAATTAAAAGAGATATAGTAGTTTGCTTTAAAAACGAATTCGTTTGGGTAACGATTTCGATGTTAACATCGAGATTACGCAAGCGCGAAAAAATTGCAACCATATTACTGGCTGACACGTAATCCATTTAGATTTAGATATATATATATAATATTCAGCTTTATATATTCAGATTTATATATATAATATTCATATATATATATATAATATTTATATATACAATATTCAGCTGATGCGAACATTTTCTTTTTGATCAGGTCCCGTCTGATGGCAACATTTTTTGTATTTTGCCGACTCGCCACAAGGTCACATGACAGCAGTAACGAATTACTAGGGCATTCAGGCAAACATACACTTGTTTCGCTAATTTCTTGTCATAAAGGGCAATACTCAAATGGAACGCTCTGCCAGGTGCTTTAGGCAGTAGAAACCGAACTTCAACAATTTAGATTCCATTTATTATAAGCACGTCGGCCACATGAGGACACCGATAATAGTCACTTCAATCAACAGAGTAAAAGCCATTGTACCACGACTGAGCTTAACATTTGGTTGTTAAACAAACGTCAGCTGGTTTCTATCGCTCTCTTTATTTTGTGTTCCAACAGCTTCTTGCCAAACAAAGTCATTCATTCACTAGCCATCAGCAGAAACAATTTCTACTGGCTCCTTCATATAATATATGTATATCATGTAAAACATAATGGCGTGCTCGTACTTCGACACGGTCGTCGTGTTCTGCATGCAAGTCTCTACCTGTTTTCTAAAATTCACCAATGCTACCCACCGTGATCCCCTCCCGCCTCAAGCTTCTGAATAGACTCGTCCTGCCAATTGCTGATGCAGTTCCAGCGGCTATGTCCAAACGATAAATGGCTTTTTCGATACCTCAGGTTGGAACACCAAGCTTTACTGAGTAGTACTGGAGTGAAGTAAGTCTCACAATATATACGTCAATGTATTTTTCTGGGTGCCGCATAAAAAAGTTTTTGTAAAAAACAGTCTCCCGGCTCTTGTTGCTCGGCATAGCACTATACCACAAGTCAACTTAACAATTGAGCCCTTTCTCCAGCTTCTTCAGAACAATCATCACGAGATCCGAATTCGACCAAATACTACATAACGTAGAAAGCTCTTCCAAAAGCCAAGCGTTCCGGTATGATCTGCTTTTTGGTGGTGCTTGTCTGTTCGTGATCTCGTGTCCGTTCACCACGCATATCCCCAAGCCACTAAGCGTTCGACCTCACACGCTCTCTAAATCCAGCTCCGACTGTTTGCCGACAGTCTTCGGTCGTGCTAACGGCGATGCTAAGGTCAGAAACACCAAGAAACGGTCACGCTTGCCGAAGCGATCGGTACCATTGCAGGCGTAACCAATATCACTGATAATTGACGCTGCTGGCGCCGGTTCCGTCGCCGCTCTCACTGCCACTTTTTCTATTGCTCTACGTACAAAAATAATAACAACAAAATGCTACATCGTCGACGAACGAGGGGCGCAGAGAACTTTTTATGTGGCGACCATTGTTGGCCAACGGTCGCGACTGGGTTGCTGATGCGTACCACAGCGGGCCCAGAACTACAACATTTGAGTGCCGGCTAATCTCCGTCCGTCTTCATACGATTTCAGTAAATCGAGCTGAACTGCGTCAGGAAAGTCGGCAAAAGACTCGAGGATCTCGAAGTGGTTGTGCGCCGAGCACGACACAGCTCACAGGAAAGGGCAAGCACGCATTAAGGTCGTAAAACGGATGATGCGATGTGACAAACATCGCACCTAAATATAGATCTATCAGAAGATCAGAAATAACCGGGCACAGGTAGCTGCGTGTTTACATTAATTGTCGCGCCTCATCTGTGTTCTGTTTGTTTGTGTGTTATTATCACATTATGCCTCCGTTATAACAATGGCAATAGCCGGTGACCAAGCCAGTGCACACTAAATGAAATCCATATTTGTTGAATGTTTCAAATCGTTGACTACCGCGCGAGAATGAAAAAATATCGTTCTCAGACTCCCATGGCGACTTGTGAGTGGCGTTCCCTCTGTAAATCACATGATGTATAAACATTGATATGCAAACGTAAACAAAGTTTGGAGCTGAAGTGATCGGTAGTATCAGGGAGAACGCCAAGATGAAGCGAGTAAGCGATACTAATATGTCTAATGCCAGCACGTCGTTAATATACACAGGCGAACATTGGGGATGGGTAATTTCAGGGTCGCCGAAAAACAAAATCTTCTTGTAAACATAAACGCAGGATCCTGTTACGACTTAGTATTACTTTATCCGTGTCGGTTCCACTTATTGATAATTGCAACCGACAATTTACATAATATTGGCTAAAGACATTAATACGCATATATATCGTAAAAACAAGGCTGGTTGATTTCATTCCCATTAGTCTGCCGAATATTGTTCTAATGCCTCCGTCATTACCATACTATTGTCCCGCAACAATAGTAATGATGAAAAGAAGAAGAATACATGTAGCTTTATGATTATGCCCGTAACATCGGCAAATTTATCAATAAGCACGGATTTGTGGTTTTTTTCTATCTCGTTGTATTACAAACACAAAGACCAATTCGTTGTCGAAAATTTATCGACTATATATAAATATATATACACAAGACAGTCAGACTTTAGGCGGTAGCAACAGCTGAATTGTCAACATCAACAGACAACAAATGCAGAAATTTCAGCGATCATATCACGTTAATCATATTCGGCTAAAATTTAACTTTATCTTGAAACACCTGCAACTTCTACACCGAGAGGCAAAATGACATTAGATTATCCACTAACCGTCATCTTCCGGAAGAAGTCGTGCTTTCTTCCGCGGCTCTAGCCACTCTTAACCATACATAGCGCGTCAAACGGCAGGAGCACACGCGCTAAACTGTTGCGTTTAGCTGTTGGCGAAAAATTAAGATACCTCTTCCTTATTTATTTCCTAACATATCGTGAGCAACACAGTGCCGCCGCGCAAGACTCAAGGCATACGACGGTGACATCGTGGTGCTGACGCTTTTCCACTTGCTTGCTGTCGACAAACTAAAACGCCGATGGAGACAAGGGCGAAAGATTTGCCCCCCGTGGCCGGGATAGTGACACCAATCGTGGTAGTCACATGCCGGCTATGGGAGATTTGCTATAATGCCGGTAGCCAAGTTGAATAGGGGACTGGCACGTAACAGAGAAAAATCCTTGCCATGCTCAAATGGCTCTGACCATGGCACTTGATAAAGTTTCCTCAAAGACTAATCTATACCTATCGCGAATTGCTTACGTATGTCATGTGCGTGTATGATGCATCCATATGCGTACTTATATAAGTAGTTATGACGTCTTGGTAGGTGAGACAAAATGGCAAAACGAGGGAAGTGACTGCTTCTAGTAAAAACAATCAACGACACGAAGAATTTGCTTTTCATTTCATATAATAATGGCAGCAGAGAGTTTTCATGACGGCAGGCATTTTTCAAGTACCTCTGATAGACGTAAGTAACGTCCACTGTAACGAAACTACGAAAAAATACCTTCTAAAATGCCAATACGCATCGTCTGGTGCGTAAGGTTTCTTCAGTTAAACGAATAGAGCAACTTCTGCACGGCTGATCTGCCTTCAGGCTTTGCTTATCTCTAGTTTGGCTCTTTTTCCAGAAAAACCAGATAAACCATTTGGAGATGGGACCCACGTTGTATCGTAGCCCATATTACGCCAGATAGATTATCTACTTCTTTTCATAGGCTTACCTTATGTGTGGCAAGACAACAAAAGCTTAGCAATTTCCATTGAAATTAGTGCACCTTTCTCCCTAAAATCTAAGCCCTCTGTTAGTTTAGACCCGGGCTCTCGCGTTATCATCAGCCCTGTTGTTGATAGGACAGGAATATTTAGCCTCAAGGTGAAGGACAGAAGATGAGAGACAAGAAGTACGAATCGCGATCACATCGGTTGAACTGATTTCCGGGGACGAGTTACCAGCAGTTGGGTCGACGACGCTAAAATACATCGAATGCATCTTATCATGGGTCTCTACTCAGCTTACAGAGCTTATTCTATGAAGAATAAAAAGACGGGTTTGACATCGTATGGAAACGAGTAGACCCCGTAGCCTTTAGCCTAATAAACTATCCCCGTATAGGCGTATATATACAACTGTTTATAAAAATAAATCAAGAAGGAATCAAGACACTCTTACTAATAAAGAGTAATTAATAAAAGTTAATCGAGTTTTACTGTTTAGCAGTTTCCGTGTGAAAGTAATTCTTCATGAAATTATATTGTTCGTATTGTCTCCTTGCTATTGTTACTTTAACATTATCACTAAAGGTTGGAGATAGTCGATGCCCTTCGGATGACTAGCAACGTTAATTAGCATCCGTCTCGTTTAGTAGTAGTTGCAGAAGTAACAATAACACAGTCACAAAAAATGAATGTAACCATAATAGCTAGAACCCGCAGAGGGCAGGTATAGTTACTCCCTCCTCCCCCAGTGTCGAAGACGTGTAGCTACTGCCTACGAGTTATTCGTTTCAACATTGGAAAGTCGCTTCATGCTGCGTTATAGGACGCTTTCCTCGTCACTGTAAACAGCGAAAAGTAGACGTTGAGCTCATGCGTCTGTCAGTGACTAAGGGCATCTCAGTCTGTCTACTATAACCATCTCGATCTTCACAATCTCATAGGACCACACAATCCTGCCAGCTGTATCACGATTAGTACGGAGTCAAATGCCGCGCTCTCTTAATTTCGACTGACCAATGCCAAACGAAAAAAGACAGATTATGAGCTCTGTGACTGGCGGCCACCTACATCACACAATGTATAACTAACGAGTTCCTTAAATCTGCGTGAATATTACGTCAAATGATACGTCATCTGCCCGCCGCCTCTGTAGTTTGTTACGGCTTCTGCATCTTCTGTCTGGTCCACACCGATAAAATCACCTTCCTCACATCTGAGGCCAACGTCAACGACGGACAATACGACTACAACTCACAACAAACGGCATACGCGCCATCTGCCGGTTGGCCAACGTCATATCAAACGCAGGCTACAGTAGTAACGAGATAAATGACGACCACAACGATGATAATTGGGGTAAGTATTGTTTTAGGGGAAATCCGAACGGAACTGGGTCACTGCCCTCTATTCAAAATCGTTTGCCCCATTCATTTTCGGTCTGCTGCCCATTGCTGGAACTTTTGTTTGTTTACAATTTATCGATGCTCTCTCAGAATAAAAACAATAAGAAGCCAAGATATACTCAAGGATAAACAAATTCAGATTTCGTATGTTGTTGGGATACTGTTTTGTTTCAGATGTTTTCTAGCGTCGATAATAAATCGATAGAATGAGAAACAATGCAATCGTTCAACGTTCGTCACAAAGAATCGTTATGGAATTGGGTAAAAAGGTAAACTGAGCATTTTGCTTGTCTCGTTCATTAATTGTTTTCATAATGCTCATAAAGAAGGCTAGTTCCGCGTTCTGTCTGCCGAGCTGCAACCCAAAAGGAAAGCATGAGCAAAGGAACGAGGTAGTCAATTAATAGTCAAATAGGATACCATGTACAAAATCATTAGCTACGTAGTCACCTTCTCCTGATTATCTGGGAGGATTCAACGAGCAAGCCATGCAAAGAAACAAGCATCGGACCAGCACTACTCTGTGCTTACTATCACTAGGCCAAGGTGAGCAGCTTCAAACGATAACTGCGCCACAAACGGAAAACACAGAAATAGTCTGGTACATCCTAACCGTGCTAACTTTTCCAGGAATAGCCAATAGTAAATCATACAAATCGAATACTGTATGGTCATATGAAGTATTTCATCGAACAACTCCATCTCCTTGAAAAGGGAGCAGACAGCCTAATTTCAACCATTCACGTGTAAACTCCAATAGAGCCATGATGATCCTGTGAAAATTCCTGTGCCAACGTTTTTCAAGGGCCTGTCGAGCAAACACCGTGGGTATACTGCGCATCAACCCCATAAATGCTCCGGAGATTTATTCTTCTTAAGCAGCGCAGCACTACGCTGAGTAGAGGCATTTTCACCGTCAAGCTTAAGAAATGTGACCATCAGTATAGCCTTATTCGGCTGGCTGCAAGCCTCGAGGTGTCTATCCGCCATGTTTCTGTGCGTATGTGTATATATGCTTAGACTCGTATGGACTTTTTTTTACCGTCAGAGGCTCATTCCCGCATCTGACGACGCTCAATCCCGAGACGCCGAGGAGAAATAGCGAGATATAGAAAAGTTCATTGCCGAGTTGCGGCAACAGGGTCGTCGATCTAACTAAAAAGACCAGTTAGTCGTTCAGCCGGTCTCCTTTTAGTCGGGCCGGTTACTTGCCGACGCTAGGTATCTACAGCAAATGCCGATATAGTAGGAAAACTGTCCTTGGCTGTTGTAGAGCAAGCAAGTTCTACGCATATACGTAGGTGTTCGCGCTTTTTTCCCCCCTGTGTCATCCTAGTGTAACACAACTAACTGGTCGAGTTGACTGCGTGTAGGGTCGCCTGCCTAAGTATACTAGGCTATCCTTGGGCACCCTCTGCGGATAACACCTTTTGCCCACGGTCTAGATACGTCAGTAGATGGCTGCTGCCATTCTAACACCACTGGCGATTGTCTCAGGCTTCGCGACTGAATCAGTTGATTCACAACTACCTACGCTTGTAATACGGTGCCTTGCTTTGACACAATCGTAGATATATAGAGACAGCGACAAGCGGTCGGGCAGCGGTGGTAATAATGCTGGTGGTCAGCGTCACTGTAGTGTAGTGGAAAAGTGGTCGCTGGCCTCAGTGAAGCAGCGGTACGCTACTGGACAACAGCGGCGGCTGTAATAGCAACTTGGAGTAGGATGATGCAGCACAGACGAGGCGGACCCCTTTGTTTGAAGAAATGATCATTTCGGCCATTGCTGTGTGCTCCGCCAAACGGTGCCGCCAGACTGCCGCCACGCAGCAGCGGTAGGTACAGCCAGAGTTACTGGGCGTCATGTAGAGGGA